GGGAGACAAAAAAAAAGCAGGATGACTGTCTAGATTTAAATCAGAATGGCTGGGAAGTAACATTTATTTATTTATTTTTAAGGCAGAGTCTTGTCATGTAGCTAGGGCTGGCCTGGAACATTCTATGTAGCCCAAGGTTCCCGCCTCACAGTCTTGCCTATCTTAGCCTTCTGAATGCTGGGATTATAAGTATGTGCTGTGCCTACCACACCCTGCCTTTGTTGAGTTTTAATTAAATAAAGAACTTATTATCCGGATTTAAGTTAATAGTGCAAAGATCTTAGCCTGCATACCATTTAGCTTGGCTGGAGGTGGCAGGGCAGGGCACCACGGATTGTTACTCAGACGTTTGGTGGCCTGGGGCAGCCAGGATGGGGACACCCATGGAGCTGCTGTTTAGCACCAGAGTGAGAGCTAGTGGCCACGGTGGGCTGGGCCTCTCTAGGCTGGACATAGGTGGGGTTGTGTGAAGCTTCTCTGCTGGCTGGGTCCAGCCCTGTACTGGGCCTGTGGTGGTGTTAGAGATGAGTGTATTCGTGTCCTGTTGCTTCTGTGAAAGAAAAATGGCCTTACCCTGTTTAGCTCACACCAACAGATTTATTGTCCTACAGTCCTAGGTCAGAAAGCTGAAGGGAGTCTTTCGGGGCTTGAGCCAAGGTGTCCTGAGGGCTGCCTTCTGCTGCTTGTGGTCTTTTGTCCCTTCTGCCTCCAGAGGGCCTTTGTGACTCTGCCTCCATCTGCCCCTCTGACCTGACCCTCTGCTTCCTCTTCTAAGAACCCTGTGATCTTGCTGGGCTCCCTCAAGTAATCCAAGATAATCTCTCCATCCCCAGATCCTTAAGCTACACAGCTACAGAATCTACAAAATCCCTTTTGCCATTTAAAGGTAACAGATCGTGGGAAGGAGGACATTTGTGCTTGTTCCAGGACATTTAACTCTTCTCAGACACACCCAGCTCCCAGGAAGGTGGGAGAAGAGTTAAATCCGAATCCCAAACTGTGTGGTCTCTGGAGCTGAGTGACCAGTATCTGGGCGAAACCCTGGTTGTGGTGCCTTCCCTCAGACCCAGGGCCAGCACGCCTGTCCTGCTTGTGGCGGGTGGGCCACACGCGGGCTCTGTCCTGCAGAACACATGCTTAGGAAGCAAAACATCCCATTCTTGGCTTGAAGACTTCACAAGAAAGTCGTGCTGGGCCCCTGGCTCTAGACTGGCCTCTCTGTGAGGCGGTGCAGGGTTACACCTGCTACAGCACATGCTGCGGTGGTGTCTCCGCCCGGGCCTCACAGAAGCGTCCTCTACCTCCGTACTGGTTTGACCTGACCCTAGAGGATCAGACCTAGATTTTACTCAATGTTTTGGGTGGATTTTTTTTAATTTTTAAAAATTCATTGTTGTTTTAGAGATGGCATATGATGGGGTTACTGTTACATCTGTCAGGTAATAAGAACATTTCCTTTTGCAGTGTCATCTATTCCCTCATTCTCTTCCATCCCCCCCCCCGCCCTTTACCCACAAGTTTCATAGGTCACTTTAATCAATGCCCAGTGCAGCCAGTGTGCTTCACTGCTGTACTTTTTCCCTCTGATTCTGTGCCCTTCCCCACCCTCCCACAGATGTGCAATGAATATACTATATAAGATGAAGCCAGGTGCCAGTGGCTCACACCTATAATCCTAGCTACTCAGGAGGCTGAGATCTGAGGATCATGGTTCAAAGCCAGCTTGGGCAGGAAAGTCTATGAGACTCTTACCTCCAACGAACCACTCAGTAAAACCGCAAGTAGTGCTGTAGCTCAAGTGGTAGAGTGCTAGTCTTGTGCTGAAGAGCTGAGGGACAGGGCCCAGGCCCAGAATTCAAGCCCCACAACCAACAAACAAAACAAAAAGGTAGAGAATACAGTATCATCAGAAAAAGGGAGGAAAAAAAAGACAAAAGTCCTTTTCGATTTTTTTTTTTCCCCCCAAAAAAATTTTATTTGTTTTTTCCCAGTCCTGGAGCTTGAACTCTGGGTCTGGGCATGGTCCCTGAGCTGCTTTTGCCCAGGGCTAGCACTCTATCATTGAGCCATAGCGCCACTTCCAGCTTTTTCTTTTTCTTTTCTTTTCTTTCTTTCTTTTTTTTGGCTTTTTCTATGTATGTAGTACAGAGGAATGGAACCCAGGGCTTCATGCATGCTAGGCAAGCACTCTACCACTGAGCCACATTTCCAGCCCTGGTGTTTTTATCTATCTATCTATATCGATCGTCCATCGTGCAGCTTGAACTCGGCCTGGGTGCTGTCCTTCAGCTCAAGGTGAGCGCTCTTAACACTTGAGCCACTGCGCCACTTTGGGTTTATTGGAGATAAGAATCTCATGGACTTTCCTGCCTGAGCTGGCTTTGAACAAGATCCTCAGATCTCAGCCTCCTGAGTAGCTAGGATTACAGGTGTGAGGCACTGGTGCCTGGGGGATTTTTATTTTTGACATAGCTTGCTTTTTAAATTTTGCTTTGATGTGTCACTAGCTTTTTGCTTGGGTTGGCATCAAACCTCAATTTTCCTATCTCTGCCTCTTGAGTAACTAGATTCAGCTGGGATTATAGGTGTGTGCCACTATGCCTGGTGACTCCTGAACTCAACGTATGTACGTGTGTGTTCTTGCTTGCAAGTGCATGCATGCATGGGTGCATGTGTGGGCTGGTCCTGGGGCATGAACTCGGGGCCTGAGCACTGACCCTCAGCTTCTTTGCTTCTTAGTGCTCTACTACTAGAGCCACAGCTCTACTTCTGGCTTTCTGGTGGTTAATTGGAGATAAGAATCTCACAGGTTTTCCTGCTGGGCTGGCTTTGAGCTGTGATCCTCAGATCTCAGCCTCATGAATAGCTGGGATTACCGATCTGATCTGTAATCCATCAACACCTGGCTATACAGTCTCTTCCGGTTGTGATCTCTGTTCCTTTGGATGCATGCTCCGGAGAGGGCTTGTGTTTCTGGTGTGTTGAGAACTTGCACACTGTTCCATATTGCCTGTATGGTTCAGATTCCACCAACGGCGCGTGGGAGCTCCCCTCTGCACCTCTTCCAGCATTTGTTCCTTGTTCTCTTTTTGGTAATAGCCACCCTAGCTGGAGTGAGAGGGCGTCTCATTGTGGTTTTAATCTGTGTTTCTCTGCCTGTCTCCTTGAATGAGCTGGAGAGCCTGTAGAGTGCTGGTCATTCTGAGCAGCTTGGCCCTGTTCTCATCTCCTGGGCATTTGTAGGTGTGGCTCTTGCCCATCCACTTTTCTTCAGGGTCCCTGTGTGTGAGCAGCTCGCCATCTCTGATCTCTATGATCCTTGGCCTCTCTCCCCCCTTAACTACAGCTGAGCTCTTGCTGTTGGGTGAAGGGAGGGGCTGAGGGCGGTTGTAATGTTGCCTGTGCCAGCAGATTTGATTCTTGGGTGCGCCTGTGGAGGTGTGTGATGACAGTCTCCAGCTCGTGGTTTTTTTTGGCCCCAGTTTGTAATTGATCTTTGTTCCCTCTGCTTTTGTTACCATAATGAGACTTTTGTCTTAGAGCTCATCTTCTGGCAGGTCCTTCCGACCTCCCTACTTCTTTGTGGATCAGACCCCTCTCTGGACCTCTCTTAGCCAGAGAGTGTTTCTGGTCACCACCATTCCTTGTCTGGTCAATCTTGATGTTTCTGTGTCAGGGCTGGGGTGTGACATAAGTGGAGGCCCTGAGTTGGGTCCTGAGTGCTGTACAAAGCAAACCCCACAAAGCCTAGACACCTGCCTGTCCCCATACTCCACCCCCTTAATTTCAGAGGTGGAAAGCCACAGTTCCTTCACACTAGCCAAGGTGGGAAAAAGACGCGAAGTTCTCATTGGAGTGCATAAGCAAGGCACTACCATAGGACTGGGTGCTGGAAGCTGGCGGGAGGGAGGCATCCTTGTCTGCCATCTTGGTTTTTTGTGGGGGCTGTGTTTGCTCTGTTGCCATGGCACCACTGAGAGCCCTGTTCTTCCTTCCATTGCCCAGGTGCTTTCCATCTGGGTGCTGGTTCTTTTTTTTTGGTAGGTCATGGGGCCTGAACTTGGCCTGGTCGCTGTCCCTCAGCTCTTCCGCTGAAGGCTAGCGTTCTACCACTTGAGCCACAGTGCCACTTCCAGTTTTCTGGTGGTTTATTGGAGATAAGAGTCTCACAGATCTTCCTGCCCAGGCTGACTTTGAACCACGATCCTCAAATCTCAGCCTCCTGAGTAGCTAGGATTACAGGCGTGAGCCACCAGCGCCCACCAAAGGGTGCTGTTTCTTCATGTCCAGGTTGCAGTTACCCGGCTGTTCCTGAGTGATGGGCTTTGGTGGCTTTCCTTAGATTTGGTTTTGCTCCGTGGCGGCCTGGCTCTGTTGGACCAGGCACCCTCCCCCTTCCCCTCTTCCCCTCTTCCCCCCTTCCCCTTTTTCCCCCTTCCCCCCATCCCCCTTTCCTCCTGTTTTTTTTTGTTTTTTTTTTTTTGGGTCACGGGGCTTGAACTCTAGGCCTGGGTGCTGTCCCTCAGCTCTTCAGCTCAAGGTGAGCACTCTACTACTTGAGCCACAGCGCCACTTAGGTTTTTCTGGTGGGTTATTGGAGATAAGAGTGTCACAGACTTTCCTGCACAGGCTGGCTTTGAACAGCCATCCTCAAACCTCAGCTTCCTGAGTAACTAGGATGACAGGCATGAGCCATGGGCACCCAGCCTTCCTCCCCTTCTTTAGTTGTGAAGCTAAGCAGATGTGCTATGAGGAAGGACTGTTTATCTTCCCATCCCACAGTGTTGGCCTTGAACTGGAGAGGGACTGAGGGTTAACGTTCACATCAGGGCAGCCTGGTCTAAGCTGGCATAGGATGGCCTAGGAACAGATGCCTGGGTAGGGGCGGGGAGAAGCACAGCTTCCTAGAGGCAGGTCACGGCTGTCTTTACCATCCTGAGCAGCTCAGTCGTCTGGATTTGGGCTTCTGGTGACTGACGTTCACTTCTTCCATTCCAAAGGCAGATCGGGAGCGGTGCCGAGAAAAATTTTCTTACTAGATGACATTTCATCGCAATGTCCGATCGTTTGGGGCAAATAACCAAGGGCAAGGATGGGAAAAGCAAGTACTCGACTCTCAGCCTGTTTGACAAGTACAGAGGAAGATCAGTAGACGCGGTCCGGTCCTCAGGTGAGGCCCCGGCAGGTGCGCTCTCCCCTTGCGGGTGAGACCCCGAGACCTGGCTGGGGTGCGGGGACACAGATGGCTCTGGGGAAGCAGTCACTCTACCCCAACTTGAGCCTGGGATGGCCTGATTGTAGCAAGATTGTCTCCATCCCTTAATAAAGTCCAGGCCTTTTGGGCCCAATGGGTGGAATGAACCTGATTTGCATTAGTGTTCCAGGACTTGGGGGGAAAGTTCTCATAGGTCTTGTCAGCCCCTCAGGCTTCATTTGGGTCTAGACAGAGGGTTTGGGTTCAGTCCCCTGGGGTGAGGCTAGGGCTGGCTCAGGAGCCGGGTGGTCATTGCAGGCCTGCCTGCTTACTGCCATTCCCACAGAACAATGGCGGCCCCTGGAGCCTTCAGGGCCCCTTTGTCTTCGAGTCTCTCGGGTGAAGAGCTTGCAAGGAGCTGACCAGACTGCCAGACGTTGGCTTTGTTTGCTTGGCTTTTGTCTTCCCCACTCAGTCTGAGTGGCAGAATGTCCTCCTGCAAACTTTGCCATGTGGTATCTGCTCTGTCCCCCGAAGTTATTCCTAGACATGGCTTACAGAGCCTTGGGAAAGTTGCCACAGCCCGGCGCATGCCACCACCTGCAAACCTGCCAAGCCTGAAGTCTGAAAACAAAGGAAACGACCCCAACATCGTAATAGTACCCAAGGACGGAACGGGATGGGCCAACAAGCAGGACCAGCAAGACCCAAAGAGGTGAGCAGTGGTGCGGGCAGAGGGCTAGCAGGCAGGGGCCGGGACGGCAGAGGGGCTCCCATCCTTTGCTTGCACAAGAGGTGGTGGGGGCCTAGAGGTAGGAGAGGCCACTTGTGTTGCTCCATGCCTGTTGGGGTGATAAGACAGTGTTTCTGCGGCAGCCTGGCTCACAGTGTCTCCCTGGCCTCATTAGGAAAGGCCTCCTCACTCAGAGGAGTGTGTGCATATGACAGGCAGAGCAAAGGGGCCGCTACTGAGCTGCAGGTGGAGAGTGCAGCCCCCAGCTAGATGGGCTGTGCTGCCCGCGCTCGGAACACTCGGAGGTATTCCGGGGACAGCGGAGGGGCCTTCTCATCCGGGTCTCCCAGGGACCCCCAGGCTGCCAGCGCAGCCTGAGGGCCTGGTGGTGTCCCCCGAGACACAGCAACTGTGCCACAGGACCCCCAACTGGGGCAAGACCTGGAGCCCTCCTGTGTCCACCCTGTCTCCACCTGCTGGGTTGGGCATGGCCCAGGGAAGAGGATTGGTTGTGGAAAGGGCACAGGAGACAGAAGCGCTGCTAGTGGTCATCTTGGGGAATGAGAACAGCAGTGGTCTGGTCCCTTTACCCTCCTGCCCCGGCATCTCCTGGTCTCTGGCTGATCTGGAGAACCAAGTTGTGGAAGGGACCCACAAGGCAGGCCGTACCCAGGGTCCCTGCTGTTCTGGCCTGTGTAGGGAAGCTCAGAGAGATGATGTCCTGTGGTGTTTCAGATGGGATGTAGAGGGAGCACATAGTTCAGCCAGAGGTGACCCAACAGAAATGGGGAACAGGCCCTAAAAGTTACTGTGTGCGCATGCTCTCTCATGGTGTACTTAGGATCATGTTGATGTGGAAATCGTATTGGGGATCGGCTCTCTGCAGGCCCAGTGGAATCTGGAGACGCATTCCCTCCCAAGGCTTAGGGCTCACCAGGGAGCAGGCTCTACCCAGCACTGTCAGTGGCAGCTCTGAACTGCCCTGGCACAGCATTCCAGCACGTGGCAAGAGGTCCTGCTGACAAGTGGGGGCGAGGAGGGAGTGTGTTTGGGGAACACAAAGGTGCCACTCCTTGAAAGCTTCTGCTTAGGCAGAAGGTGGTCTGAGCGGGGACCAGGAGCCTTCATGGAGTTATGTTCATGTCAGTGACTTGCTGTGTATCTGTGCAGTTTGGTTTTAGTCCACAAGACAGGCCTCTGGCATTGAATGTGAAGTAGATGGCTACCTTCCTCAAGTTCATCAAATTAAAAACTTAATAAAAAGTGGGTAGATGGGGGCTTGATGGAACATGTCTCCAATTCTAGCTGTGTGGGAGGTGGAAGGTCGGAGGTAGAAGGATTGTGATCTGAGGCCAATACAGTACCCTATCTGAAAAATAGTCAGGCACTTACGGCCCATGCTATTGAGAAGGCTAAGAACCTTGGTTCAAAGGCAGCTTGGGCAGAAAAGTTCACAGGACACATCTCTGGAGGCATGGCTCTGGTAGAACACTAGCTGTACGCAAGCAGTCCAGCCGAACGAGAGCACAAGGCCCTGAGTTCAAGCCCTGGTATATGGCGTGTGCACATGCACATACACACACACCTCTCTAAAAAGCAAACAGTGTAGGAGCATGTCTCAAGTGATTGAGTGCCAGCCTGGCAAGCAAAGGCCCTGAGTTCAGGCCATGGAGCTCCAAAAAAAGCAGAAGAATGTGTCTATGAGAGCAGAAGGCGCCGCTGGGAATGGCCCGTGGTCTCTTGGGACAGCTGGTGGGGCGGTGTTGGCTGACAGCCTTTCTCGGAAGGCACTTTGGCACTGTCTTTTAAACTGCAACACATCTTTTGAGGCTGAGTGTGATTTAGGTGTACACCTGTAATCCCAGTCAGTCCTGGAAACCGAGTTAGGATTTCAAGTTACAAATCAGTCTGGGCCATATAGCAAGCCCGTGTTTCATAAAGACATCTTTTGGCCTAACAGATCTACTCCTAGCATAACAGGCTACTATACTAAGTCACTTCTGGACAGTGACAGGATTCATTCACATGTACTCACACAGAGTGCTCACTGTGCTATTACCTGCAGTGGAGGGAAGTATGGTGAAAATGTGCCCATCCCATCATACCGTGTCATTGTTGAAGGAAAAGCGGGCCTGTGTATATTGGAAATGTTCAGTGTTCTTTTTACATGAAGGGAAACAGGTTATGGAAATTGCACGCATGCTCTGGTCTACTTGAGTCAGAATCTGTGTCCATTACATATGTAGGAGCCACCTGAGCAGGAATCTGGAGGTGCTGTCTGAAGGAAGCGATCATGGTAGATTGTGTCAATATAGGTTTACAACACATTAGTTTTTACCTTGAAAATGTGTATCATTTCGTGGGGCTTGAACTCTGGGCCTGATGCTGTCCCTCAGCTCTTCAGAGCAAGGCAAGTGCTCTACCACTTGGACCACAGTAGTAGTTTATTGGAGATAAGAGTCTCATGGACTTTCCTGCCGGGCTGGCTTTGAACTGTGATCCTCAGATCTCAGCCTCCTCAGTAGCTAAGATTACAGGTGTGAGCAAAGGGTGCCTGGCTTTACTTTTTATTTTTATTTTCATTGGTCGTGGGGTTTGAACTCAGGATCTGGGCATCTGACCCTGCTCTGCCACCTTCTCTAGTTCCAGTGCGACGGCCTCTCAGCCGCCGGAGTCGCTGCTGCAGCCGGGTTTGCAGAAGTCTGTCTCCAATTTACAGAAGCCGACCCAGGCCATCAGTCAGGAGGTAGGTGTGGGGACCCTGTCCTGGCTTCTGCCCACCTGGGGCCTGCTGCTAGGGGTTGGGGGGTGGGGTGGGAGGTTGTTGCTCAGATGTGTGGGCTTTATTGTTAGCTGGGGCAATCCAGTGAGGGACTGGAAACTAGCCCAGGAAATTGTGGTGGTCACCAGGAGAAGGGTAACAGGGTTTTGGGAAAAGACCCCAGGCACAGAGTGCAGTAGAGGTGCCTGCTTTGCTTCCTGCTTGTTTGGTTCGGGTGGGGTCGCCTAGGCCGACTGCAGGCAGCTCAGGCTCTTAATGTGTGCCCTGTGGAATCCAGTGTCAAAGAATGGAAGAAGTGTTAGGCTGAAGAAAAGTTCTGTGTGAAAAACAAGTGAGCCCCCTGGCTGCTGCACTTCCCAGAGCCTTTGACACGCTGTCCAGGACCTCGAGTCTCCGGGGAGGGGCTGGAGCCTTCTCTTGTGGATGTGTTTGAGGAAACTTTCCTATTTGAATGTCCATCTCTGCACAGTCCTCTAGGTGCTCTGAACGGAAAGCAAGGGATCCCAATGTGCTCACAGCCCAGCCATGGGTCTGCAGAGACAAGCAGATGTGCATGGCTGGTGCATGGAAATGTAGAGAAGTTGGACGTTGTAGAATATGGGAGGAAGTGCTGCTGTGGGTCACCCTGAGCCTGCAAGACCTTGTGGGGTGGGATTGCGGTGTAGGCAGGAAGGTCGGACGCACCCAGTGCCCCCTTGCTGCTGGGTCCAAAGGACCCTCAGTCCCCAAGGGACTGTCCTGGCCCAACACACTGCCCCCGACAGGCAGTGTCCCTGTGTGCTGTGTGGGCAGCGCAGCTGGATGCCCACCCTGCTGGGCTCTGCATGAGGCCAGGGGTGCAGGTGGACCTGGGGGTGGGGGCGCAAGCATGGAGGGCTGGCTGGAGGGAGGGGACATTCAGTCCACTGCGTGCTGAGGCGCCATGCTAGGACGCCAGCAGCTGGTGGCTGGAAGGCAGGGGGGCTCTGGTTTGGGCCAGGGAGCCCTGGGGACAGATCCTGGTCCCCAAGTTGCTCCTTTCCTGGGTGTGGGGAGGTTTGGTGAGGCTGGGTGTACAGGTGCTTGCCTGACCCTCGCCAGCCCTCAGTGAGCCAAGGCCAAGGTAGAAGGCAGCTGTGAGCGGGGAGACGGACTGTGTGGAAGGACAGTAATGGCTGAAGGTGCCACTGCTGCCCGGGGACGATCAGGCTCTGTGGATTTCCTCTTTGGTTATTGGTAGCAAAGTACTTGATGAAACCTGTGCTGGAGTGGGGGCTTGGCCTTTGTGTCTGGAACAAAACAAAATGGCTGTAGTGGGCTCGGTCGCCCTGATAGCATCACAGAAGGCAGGTGTGCTTTGAGCCTTGCAGTGCCTGCCGTGCTCTTTCCTGAGCGCCTGGCAGCCCCTGGTGCAGGGTGCTGCCTGGGGGGGGGGGGGTGGGAAGGTGGGGGTGAGGGGTGGGTAGCAGGCTCCAGCACTTAGCTGCTGCCAGGACGCAGCTGCTGCTCCACCTGCACAGGGCTGTTGTCTGAGGCATGGCCGCCGGTAGCACTGCAAGTGTGTCTCCCCCACCCCACTGCCCCAGCTGGGGATAGAGCCAGGGGCTCCGCACAGACTGGGAGGCAGGTGGTCTATCCCAGAGCCGCACCCCTGCCTCTCAGAACCCAGTTCCCAAGAGCACACGGGGACAGCGGACTGACCGGATTTCCTCATTGTCCTCTTTCAGAATACAAATTCAGTGCCAGGTGGACCAAAGTCATGGGCACAGCTGAATGGAAAGCCAGTAGGACACGAAGGTGGTGAGTGGGGCTTGTGGTCTGGGAGGGGCAGAGGCAGGCAGGACAGGGCGGGGCGGGGCAGGTCCTCTTCCTACAGTTCCTGTTGGGGAACTAGAAACCCTGGTGTCCCTTGAGTATTCTTTCTGGTGTGTCTGCGGTGGCAGGGACACTGATTCTGCGAGGCTGTTGGCTCTTTGGTTTAAAAGGTTTGTTTGGGTTCAGGGGCAGCTCTGAGGGGCCAAGGAGCAGGGGGATGGGAGGCTGGAGTGGGGAGGCGGCTGGCAAGGAGGTTGATGGCATGGCGTCATTTCAGAGTAATAAACTGGCAAAAGTCCTCAGTTGCTCCTTTGGTGAAGCAGCAGGCTTTGTACCCTTTGCTCCCTGTGCTGGTGCCATCCTCTGCCTTTGTTTTTCCTGCCAGCCAGTCCTTGACTTCCGTATTGAATTGGCCTCTCGATGAGGCTATGCCTCTGGGTGGGAATGGCTCTGGTAGAAGGCTCCAGTCTTGGGGAAATGCTGGGTCAGTGCTTGCTGTCAGGGCTCCAGGGCCTCCTAGGGAGCCGCAGGTGCGGTGCCCGGCAGTGGCACAGTGACAGGCCGCAGGCACTCTGTGGAAGGCACATGGTGTCGCCCCTGGCAGGGCAGTTAGCCCTGGCCCCTGCTTGTGAGAATAGTGCATGCTGTTCCCAGTCTTCAGGAGGATGGACGAGCAGGCAGGAGGCTTGGAGACCCGTGCTTCATAAAGAACAGTCACTGAACTGTAGGCTGTGGGTCTAATCAGAATAGTAAGTTTCATTAGAAAGGAGTCACGAAGTGGTGTGGGGGTCCCCGTCTGTAGTGCTGGCCACTTGGAGGGCCAGTGCCTTTGCGCCCAGGCCACAGAGACCTCCCTCATCTCAAAAAACAGAAAAAAAGAATTACAAGGATTCAAAACCAGGCCATTATCTGTTGGAATACCCTTGTGGGGTTTGGCGCTGTCCCCCACCCTGCATTCCACTGGAAGAAAGCCTCCCCTAAGTTAATACTTGGCTTGGGCGCGCGCGGCACCCCCCCCCGCCCCCCCCGGGTGTGACGTGACCTCTGTTGGTGGAGCGTTAGAAACACTCTCTTGGACCATGAGGTCCATCTGGTATTGGAAGGAAATCTAATTCGGAAATTACAAAAAGCCAAACTCTGCTACTGCTGTGGCAAGGTCTCCGGAATAGGCTTAGTGAGCTGGTGTCAGGGTGTGTGTACTTCACCACCGATGGTGTAAAAGACAGTTCCACAAAAGGCTTAAAGAAGCCTCTGCATGCAGGCAGGAGAGCCATGCGCTTTTTGAGGGCATTGGGAGCCGGCAGACATACAGGGTGGGAGGAATGTGTCACATTGTACCCTGGACCATGTGATGGTATCACCTATCACAAATCAGACTTCATTTAGAAAACAGTCACTCAGCACAGCAATAAACCCCCCACTGCAACATGGGGGCCCAGTAGGGTCCCAGAGCCCCCAAAACAGGCTTGCCAGTCTAGGCCCAGCTTAGGGGATCAGGTGCCTTTCCTGTAGTGGTAGAAAGAAGGCAAATTTTTTTTTTTTTTTGGTCAGTCGTGGGGCTTGAACTCTGGGCCTGGGTGCTGTCCCTCAGCTCTTCAGCTCAAGGCTAGCACTCTACCACTTGAGCTACAGCACCACTTCCGTTTTTCTGGTGGTTTATTGGAGATAAGAGTTTCACTGAGTTTCCTGCCTGGGCTGGCTTTGAACGATGATCCTCAGATTTCAGCTTCCTGAGTAGCTAGGATTATAGGTTTGAGCCACTGGTGCCCAGCAAGAAAACGATCTTTTGTTCTGTTCTACTTAAATCAGGTGGCCTGGGATGATGAGCCGCAGAGCCTTGGCTCAGGCTGTGGTCCAGCCCCACCCCCCGCAGCTCCCTCTGTGCCTGGCCTGGCTGACCATCTTGCCTGCTGCTCAGGGCAGAGCGGCAGAGTGCAGGGCTGGGGGAGAGTGCAGAGCCTTGGATCAAGCTATGCTGAGGCCCTGGGAGTAGTACAGTGTTTGATTTGTTTGAACTCAGTGCTCTCTGTTGCTAGACAGGTGCTCTACCACTTGAGCCACACCCACAGCTGGTAGTGTTTGGGTATGAGGTTGTGAGTTAACTTTGTCTCTGGAGGGTAAGTTTGATCCATGCTTGTAATGATAACTTCACAGTTGTTGAAGCAAAAGGGGACAGATGAGTGTATTGAACACAGTTTTTGTTTAATTTTGTTTATTTTGCTAGTTTTGGGGCTTGAACTCAGAGCATGAGCACTGTCCCTGAGCTTCTTTTGCTCAAGGCTAGCACACTCTACCACGTGAGCCCCAGAACTACTTCTGGCTTTTTTTTTTTTTTTTTTTGTGGTACTGAGGAATCAAACCCAGGGCTTCATGAATGCTGGACAAGTACTCTACCACTGAGCCACATTCCTAGCCTGAACACTGGTGTTTTGTTTTGTTTTGTTTTTTGGTGGGGGTAGGATGCTAGTCCTGGAACTTGAACGCAAGGCCTGGGTGCTGTCCCTGAGCTTTTTTTTTTTTGGTCAGTCATGGGGTCTAAACTCAGGACCTATGCACTGTCCTGAGCTTTTTTTGTTCAAGGCAGTACTCTACCACTTGAGCCACAGTGCCACTTCTGGTTTTCTGGTGGTTAATTGGAGATAAGAGTCTTACGGACATTCCTGCCCGGGCTGGCTTTGAACTAGGATCCTCAGATCTCAGCCTCCTGGGTAGCTAGGATTACAGGCGTGAGTCACCAGTGTTCACTTATGTGTGTGTGTGTGTGTGTGTGTGTGTGTGTGTGTGAGAGAGAGAAAATACTGTACAGAGGGGTTGCAGTTACATGGGCAAGGTAATGAGTACATTTCTTATGTTTGTTTTTTAACTGCACGTAACCTATTGTGCTTTTACTGACACCTCTTTATATTTCTACTTTTTGTTGTTGTTGGCCAAGGGGCTTGAACTCAGGCTCTGAATGTGCTGTCCCTGAGCTTGTTTTGCTCTACCACTTTGAGCCATAGCTCTACTTGTGGTTTTCTGGCAGTTAATTGGACATAAGAGTCTCATGAGGACTTTTTAGTCCCAGCTGGCTTTGAACTGTGATCCTCAGATCTCAGTCTCCTGAGTAGCTAGGATTACAGGCGTGAGTCATAGCACCTTGCTTCGGGTATGTGTGTACATGTGTATGCAAACGGTCAGCTTTGGGTCTTGAACTCAGGACTTTTTCTCTCTTGTTTAGGTTTTTCTGCTCATGGCTGGTGTTCTGTCACTAGAACCAGACCTTCAGTCCTCATGTTATTTTTACCAATGTCTTGTAACATCATGAGTCAACTCTGCCAATTCGAGGTCCCCTCTGCAGAGCAGAGCATGGGGTTCCTTGTAGCATTGGTCTGTGAGCTGTATCTAGTTGTCACCCAGTTGCTGGTCTCACCTCGACCCTCACAGCCCTGCAGTCTAAGTCTAGCAGGGCAGTGTGGCCAGTCTGCCTCAGTCCACCTTGCCTGTGCCAAAGTGCTGAAGACCTAGGGGAGATGTGGCCCTGTGAAGGAGCAGGGCCTCCCCGTGGGAGTGTGCTGTGATGTCATGTTGTTCTAGGTTCCTAGGGCCTGGCATGGCTACATAGCTCAGACAAAGGTTAGTTTAAGTTGGGTGCTGGTGGCTCACGCCTGTAATCTTAGCTACTCAGGAGGCTGAGATCTGAGGATTGCAGTTCAAAGCCAACCCAGGCAGGAAAGTACATGAGATTCTTATCTCCAATTAACCACCAGAAAACCAGAAGTTGCGCTGTGGCTCAAGTGGTAGAGCGCTTGCCTTGAGCACCAGGCCCAGATGACTGGGGGGGGGGGGGGGGGGAAGGAAGGGAGAGAAAGTTAGTTTGAGCCTTAGGTCTGTTTATCTGGAAGCCATGGCTGAGTCTCATGCTAAGAGCTGGGCAAGACAGGGTGAGATTAGGACACGCATACTGCTCTTTGTAACACCAAGGATGAATGACAGTGAGCAGAGAAGCGGACCAGGGTTTAGGAGAGCTATGTGTGGCTTGTGACAGGGCTGGGGGTTGCAGGTGGGTGAGGAGGCGCATGGAGAGATAGGCAGCAGTCTTTGAAGGACGTGTGGCATGGGACAAGGCATCACCTGCTCCAAATGGGAGCAACTGCCTTTCTTGGCTGGTTTGTGTGTGTGTGTACTTTGGTGTATGCACATTGAATGTGCGTGTATGTAAGTGCTGAACTATTTGAGCCACGCTTCCAGTCTCTAGGCTGACGCAGACTGTTTGTCTGCCGCGTGGGGGCCCCCCTCCCCTGTCATACGTGGCCAGCCTGATTTTGGGGTGTGGGGAGGGATGTGCTGGGGGGCTGTGACCTGCCTACACCCTTGGACTGTCTGTCTGTTGGTCTGCTGGGAGAGCTGGTCCTTTCAAGGCGGATTCCTGCCCCCAAGAGACTGCCTGCTACCTCAGACACTGCCTGCTGCCCACGGGAGCCACTCAGGCTGCGCGTGGAGCTGGGTCAGTAGGCAGGATGCTCGCTGGTCACCACACTTGAGGCTGCCTGGCAGCCACCGTGGGAAGCTGGGCCAGCAGGTAGGGTGATGGTCGCCTCACTTGGCTCTCTGTGTCTTCCTGTCTCTCTCGGCAGGTTTAAGGGGCTCAAGCCGACTATTATCCTTCTCTCCCGAGGAATTTCCGACGCTGAAAGCAGCTGGAGGGCAGGACAAGGCTGGCAAAGAAAAGGGCGTCTTAGATCTGTCGTATGGGCCAGGACCAAGCCTCCGCCCCCAGAGTAAGTGCATGCTTCCGGGACCCCCTCTCCTGTGGAGTCCACAGAGCCTCACACAGGAGGCCAGAGCTGCCCCCTACCGACCCCGCATGTCGGCCGCACTGTCTCCCTGGGCTCCTCTCTGCCTTTCTTGTCCTCTGATGGGCCAGGCCTGTCCCCTTCCCATTTGTCATCCAGTTACTATGGCTGAGATGGGCAGTCCTGCCTGGTGAGAACACAGAGGCCTGAATTTGTAGCTTGTTCCCCTGGCCAAAGCCTGCTGCTTCCTGCCCGCCACACGGGGAGCTTGTTAGCAAGTGCCCGGGCCACATGGAAGGCCACACTGTCTCCAGGGTGCAGCGCTGATTGAGCAGTCCTCTTCTGGTGCCCGGGCAGGCCTGGCTGGCACTGCCTGCTGTATGTAGGTGGAGAAGGCCAGTGGAGGAGGTGCAGTGAGCTTCAGGTGGTGGGGGGGGGGTCTTCTTTGACCCTGGATGCTGAATGAGCTCCTGGGTTGTGGTCCTAAAGTCTGAGGGGCTCAGGTCTCAGGGCTTCTGCTGCTGCTGGTGGCTTGAGCCAGTGTCCTGCACACGCCAAGCCCGCTGCGCTTCTTTACAGAGAGCGCCGGTGCAGGGGGAGGCGCTGCACTGGCAGGTGCCTCAGGAGTCATATCTTCCTGGGATTAATTAAGATGACTTGTGTTGTAGGGCTGATAAAAACAGAACTAGGCCCAGCTCCCTGTTCTCACTTGGGAAGTCAGATGTTGCTGGCTTCCACGGGACAGGAGGGGATTTGGCCTAGAACTGCAGGCAGAGTAGGGGCAGACTGGTGCCCACCCGATACTGGCCCTTTCACATTTCTACATGACGTGAACGGGAAGAATCTGACCCCACCCTTCCTGTCCATTCCCACTTGAGCAGGTAGATTGCCTTGTGCCCAGGCTCTGTCCACACATTCTCTTCTCTGCTCACTTCTGAAAATACTACTGTGCACAATTTGAAAAGACACGTACATCCATGCAGTTTATACTACTGTGTGTTGTTATTGGTATGTCCCATTGCCCTTGTGCATAAGTTGGTCTTTGTCACCAGTGTGTGTGAGAGGAAGCGGTGTGCACAGGGTTGCTTGTTGCACGCCCACCGCTTCAAGTGCCCACTGTGGGTTTTGCTGGTTGACCTGTAACTGTCCCTTCCAAGCCCCCCTCATGTACCACAGTTCTGCTTTCCCTGTGTTAGGGGGTGTAGATGCCCTGGCAGGCAGGGTCAACTAGGCTGCGTTGTCTCTGGGCTCTGCCACCCGTGGGCTGTGTGTTTCTATGTTGGAGGACACCATGTCTGGCCTGCACTTTTCCTCCTCCTCTTACTCCCTCTTCCCTCCTCCTCCTCCCGTCCCCCTTCCCTCAGAGCTCCCCCCGCGATTCTTCCTCTTGGGATTTTTTGTTCTTGCGGTTTTCACTCCTAGTTTTTGCTGAAGGAGGGGTCCTGTGACCTTGGGAACCTCATACATTCCCTCCCCCTTCTCCTCCCTTTTATCCCCTTTCGATTTCCAGATGTGACAAGCTGGAGGGAGGGCGGTGGGCGAAACATAATTTCTGCCACTTCTCTGAACGCCTCCCCAACTGAGCTGGGCAGCAGAAGCGCGAGTGCGGGAGACGGAGCCCCCTCCTCGGCCTGTGCCAGCGATCCTAAGGACCCCTCCCTCCGCCCGGCTCAGCCTGTCCGCAAAGGGGCTTCACAGTTCATGGGGAATGTGTACCACCCTCCTACTTACCATGACATGCTTCCTGCCTTTGTAAGTCTCCAGAGCGCGTCTATCCATGCCTCGGGCCGCTTGGAGGCCCGCAGAGCCTGGCTATGTGATCCCAAAACCGCATCCCCGGTGGCCGGCCGGCCTCAGTCTCCCATACCTTGCCTTCTGCCCCTGCTACTGTGCCAGTGGGCCTCTGCCTCCTTTCTCTGGTCTCTGGTGATGCCTGGATGCTAAAAATAGCCTTTTTCTTCCGAAAAAGGAGAGGCAGGTTTCCCCAACTAAGGCAAGGAAGAAATGGGGGCCGTGGGGTTGGATCCCTTAGGGAGCCCCAGCTTTTCCTGTTTCTTCTTCCCATTTTCTACTTTGCCAAATCAAATACAAATTTAGGTAGAACCTGGAATGTGGGCGATTGCCAGAACCCTGTTCTGCTCATTGGTGTTGTGTTTCAGATGTGCTCCCCGCAGTCATCAGAGAACCAGGGTGCGGTGGAACGAGGCTCCTTCCCCCTTCCTCAGCTCCGCCTGGAGCCCCGGGTTCCCTTCCGACAGTTCCAGATGAATGAGCCGGATGGGTAAGGCTGTGGCCGCAGTGTGTGCAGAGACGCCTAGTGGTGATCAGGCGGCTGGACTGGGGGTTCCCTGATGGCAGCTTGGGGTCTCAAGGTGGGGCAGTGGGAGTGTGGTGGTAGCAGGGCTGCCAGGGAGCGTAGAAGGGCAGGGCAAGGCGGAGCCTTACTCCGAGGCATTCATTGTGTATTTCTGGAAAAGGAAGCTTTGTGCACTGATGGGGCGGGACTTCCTTTTGGAGAAGTGTCTTCCTCCACCCGTGTACATGAACTGAATTCACCACCTTCCTTCTTTCCTCTCATCAGGAAAGAAAGGCTGGGGTTGACTCGCCCGGTCCGTCCACTGAGGCAGCTGGTGGAGCGCGCACCACGGCCTACCATCATCAACGCAGAAAACCTGAAGGGCCTGGATGATCTGGACACTGATGCAGACGATGGCTGGGCAGGTGGGTGGCGGGCAGAGGGTGGGACCCCGGCGGAGGGTGGCGGCTCCTCAGACCAAGCTGCAGTGAAAGTGGGCCGGCCCACGGGGAGCAACCCCGGAGACAAATCTTTTTGTCATTCATAAAAGAACTTCTGGGATTGTAGTGTGTGCCACTTGCTCAACTAAGAAATTAGTTCAAAGGCAAAGCCTCTTGCAGGCTAGGCAAGTGCTTTGCTACCCAGCTACATTCCCAGTATGCAGAGTATTTCTCTTTACCTTTTTCTCTTTGAGACAGGGTCTCTATGCAGCTCAGGCTGGTCTTGAAGTTTCTACCATCCTGCCTCGGCCTCCTAAGTGCTGTGATTGTAGGAATGTGCTGCCACACCTGACTTTTTTGAAGGCATTTGGGTTTGAACTTAGTGTCTTAGATACCTGAGCCATGCCTCCTGCCCCTTTTTTGCTTTTAGGTTTTTTGTTGTTGTTGTTGTTTTGGATAGGAGATTAGTTTTTTTAGCGGGGTGGGGAGCAGGGAGGGATGGAACATGAGCTTGAACTACAATCCTCCTTCCTAGGGCTTCCTGCTGGATCATAGGCATGTGCCACTGTACCTGGTTTATTCATTGAGAACAGGGCCTGCTGACTTTTGTCTGGACTGGCTTCATACTGTGAGCCTGATTTCCTGACCAGCTAGGACCACTGGCCTTAGCCACCACATAGACCGTCTCACAAATCTTTTGGCAATGGGAATTTTAAGCAAAACATAGGAAGAGAAATGAGATCACAAGTAACTCTGATCACCGAGTTCCTCGCTGCAGCTGGTTCTTTTCTTTCCTAGTTCTTTTTCTCTATCTCCATGAAAAGCTTCATTACAATGATAAACTGTGTGTGTGTGCGCGCGCGCGTGCGCACGTGCACGTGTGCGCACACGCGCTAGTGCTGGGACTTGAAATCAGGGCCTGGGTTCTATTCCTAAACTTAATTTTTTTTTTTTTTTTTTGAAATTTTTGCCCGTCCTAGAGCTTGAACGGGGGCCTGGGAACTTCTTTTGCTCAAGGCTAGCACTTTACCACTTGAGCCACAGCACTATGTCTGGGCTTTTCTGCTTATGTGGTACTGAGGAATTGAACCCAGGGCTTCATGCATGCTAGGCAAGCACTCTACTACTAAGCCACCTTCCCCGCCCTTTTTTCTGCTTGTGCCATTACTGGGACTTGAACCTGAGTTGTGCTCTCCTTTGACTTTATTTCAAGGCTGGTAATCTACCGCTGCAGCCACAGCTCCACCTCAGCATTTTACTGGTTAATTAGAAATAAGAGTCAAATGGATTTTCCGGCTGTGGGCTGGCTTTGAATCTTGATCTGTAAGTCTCAGCCTCTTGAGTAGATAGTATTACACATTTGAGCCCCTGGTATGTGACAGAAGATAGAATCTTAGTGTGGTTTTTTTTGTTGGCTATGGGGCTTGAACTCAGCTCTTTTGCTCAAGGCTAGCTCTCTACCACTTTGAGCCACAGTGCCACTTGGTTTTTGAGAGGTTAATTGAGGACTTTTCTGCCTGCCCAGACTGGCTTTGAACTGTGATTCTCAGATCTCATCCTCTTGAGTAGCTAGGTGTTTTTTGTTTTTTGTTTTTATAAGTCATGGGGTTTGAACTCTGGGCCTGGGTGCTGTCCCTCAGCTCTTTAGCTCAGGGCAAGTGCTCTACCACAGTGCCACTTCCAGCTTTCTGGTGGTTAATTGGAGATAAGAGTCTCATGGACTTTCCTGTCTGGGCTGGCTTTGAACCACAATCCTCAGATCTCAGCTTCCTGAGTAGCTGGGATTACAGGTGTGAGCCACCAAGGTGTCTAGCTCTTTCTATTTTAATTGAAGACCTTGACTAGTGTTTTCCCCTTGCAGTCCTGTCTGCTCCTGTGTCAGCAGGGGTGAGGTCTTCACCCTTGAGAGGCACTGCCCCGATCTGAAGGTCACTGCTGTGTCTGTGCCTACTTTGGAGGTGAACGCACTCCCTGACATATTGCTATGTTACAGCTTTGGGTATAAGAGAGGAGAGGAGGCTGATTTCTCCTTTTTTCCCACACAGATGTCTGATTTTCCTGTACTTTTTGTTGACTTCCCATCCCTCCAGTTGCTTTGGCAAAGCTCAGCTAGCCCTGTGCGTCTGGGCCTGCTTGTTATCTGATCTGTTCATCCTTACCCCAGTCTGACACACAGCTTCTCAGTAAACCTTAAATCCAGACGGTGCTAAGTTTTCCAGCTGTGCTCTTTGTGGTATGACGGTTCAGAGTTCTTTGCGTCTGCATATAAATTTAGAATCCCTCGACCTGTCGGGTTTTACAGCAAGTCTGCAGAGCATGGGTGTGTGGCGGCTGTGTAAGAACAAATGGTGCCTGGATTTGAACCTCCAGTCTTGGTCCTGGGGAGTCGGAGTCCCTCAGTTGTGTCTGCTATGTGGCTTCTGTCCTTTGTAGTCGCCAGAGAGAGGATATGCTTAGTTTTAGCATGCCGAGGCCCTGGGGTTCAGTCTCAGCACTGCCACCAAAAAAGGGGCAGGAATGGTGGTGAGCATGCTTCTGCAGGGGCAGAAGAGTGAGCCCGGGCATTTGAGGCTGGCCTGCTCACTAGAATAAGACTCTGCCTCCTCAAAAAAGTAGTTTGTAGCCGGGCGCTGGTGGATCATGCCTGTAATCCTAGCTACTCAGGAGGCTGACATCTGAGGGTCATGCTTCAAAACCAGCACAGGCCGGAAAGTCTATGAGACTCTTAATCTCTAATTAACCACCAGAAAACCAGAAGTAGTGCTGTGGCCTAAGTGGTAGAGCAGCAGCAGCACCAGCCTTGAGCTGAAGAGCTGAGGGATAGCACCCAAGCCCCACGACCAGCCCCCCCAAAAAGTTTGTAACAGTATATTATTGTTATTAATTACTGTTATTTCCATGTATTTTGTGTTCAGATATTACTATAATTGGAGTTTGGTTTCTGTGTGCTGATTATGGATTGTCTAGTTTGCTAGTTTGACTCTCTCTTGTAGACACTCATGTCCCTTAGAAATAAGTACAGTTTTGCATCTCTTTCTCAGTGTATGCCTTTTTCTCTTGATTTACTGTGGCAGGTATTTGTGAGAGGCAATGTTAAAGTTCTGCTCAAGTGGTAGAGTGCTCGCCTTGAGCGGAAGGGCTGAAGGACAGCACCCAGGGCCAGAGTTCAAGCCCATGACTGACAAAATAAATTAATAAGTAATAAATAAATAAATTTGGCAGTGAAGCAGGGCATCAGTGGCTCATGCCTGCAATCCTAGTTACTCAGGAAGCTGAGATCTGAGGATTGTGGATCAAAGCCAGACTGGGCCAAGAAAGTCTGTAAGACTTATCTCCAATGAACTACTAGCAAACTGGAAGTGGCGCTATGGCTCAAGTGGCAGAACACTAGCCTTGAGCTTAAGAGCTCAGGGACAGTGTCCAGGCCCACAGTTGAAGCCCCACGACTGACAAAGGGGAAAAAAATTCGCCAGTGAAAGTTAGACTCTGCAAACATTTCCTTTAATTATTGTGTCTTTTGTGTCAGGTTGGGTTTTTTTTTTTTTTTTTTTTGGTTGGTTAATGGGGTTTTAACGTGGCCTGCATGTTCTTGCTCATTTCTTTTTGGTGTCTGTAGAGTCTGCTGAGATAGTCTCTTGTTGGGTCATATAAGGTTTCTAACCTAATTCTATGATAGTCAGGGATTATATTTCATATAGTTTTAGTTCTCTGTAGCTTAGTGAGATTTGTTTTGTGAGCTGAATGTGGTCTCTTGGGGACTATCTCAGGTGCAGTTGAAAACCTGTGTTCCTTTTGCTGTCTCCCTGTGCTGTTACATTCTACCCGAGATGGCTGGTGCAACTCTCCCTCTATCTTTGCTTTGTGTTGGTATGGAGACTGGTTGTTGGTAGCCAATGTGTGGTTGGTAGAATACCCCTTTTCGCCACTTATATGTTTTGTCATTGGGTGGCTTTTGTTACACTTTTTTTTTTTTTGGTTGGTTGGGGAACCTGAACTCTGGGCCTGGGCACTGTCCCTCAGCTCTTCATCTCAAGGCTAGGGCTCTACCACTTGAGCCACAGTGCCACTTCCGGTTTTTTCTGCTTATGTGGTACTGAGGAATCGAACCCAGCACCTCATGCATTCAAGGCAAGCACTCTACCACTGAGCCACCTTCCCAGCCCCTCACTAAACATTTTAAAGTATCCAATTCACCCCTTGGATGTCTACAGTTCAGCTCAGCCAGGTTCCAGTTGCTCATGCATGTAAAGGAGGCTGAGGTCTGAGAATCTTGGTTTGGCTCCAGCCCAGGCAGACAAATCCATCATTTCCCATTAACCAGCAACAAGCCAGACATGGAGCTATGTGTTGGCTCAAGTGGTAGAGTGAAAATGCTAACTGGGAGCCTCAAGACCCTGTGTTCAAGCCCTAGTACTGGCAAAAAAAATAAAAAATTGAGTTGTAACTCTAAAGTTCAGTTCCTTTTCCCCCTATATTTATAAGTTGCAGCCACAGCATTGTCCATTGCTGGAGAACTTCCATCATCTGGAAATGAATCTGTGTCCTGTTAACAGGCATTCCCAGCCCATGGCCCCTGTTGCCCTGACAGTTGCAAATCTTTTTTGATCTTCATATTCTGGACAGGTCACATATATGGAGTCATGTAGCATGTGGTTTGTCAAGACTAGTGTCTTTCATTTAACGTGAGCCTTTCCAAGAAAGATACATATGCTACAATATGTACCCATATCCAATATTTTATATGCCCAAATAATATTCTGTTGCCTGGCTCTCTGCTGTGCTTCGTGATCAGTTGATGGACACTTTATGCCACCTGAGCTGCTTAGGGTGGCAGTACCTGGACATGAGGAGGACGTAGGAATTACCCTCTAAGGAATGTGTGTTGCAAGTTTCGACTGTGTTTCCTACCCGACTTGTTCATTCTTCTGTGCCTTGGAATCTGTTTGTGAAATACCTTGCAGAGATTGAAAGCTTACCTCTGAGAAGCTGCATCGCTCTTTCTACTGGGCGGGGAGCTGCCCTTCCTGCCCCTGCAGGCCTGCTAGGCACTGGATATGGAATTTCACTTTTCCTCCTCCTTCCTTGATCCTCTTGCTGTTACAGGCCTCCATGAAGAAGTGGACTACTCCGAGAAACTGAAGTTCAGCGATGATGAAGAGGAGGAGGATGCTGTGAAGGACGGCCGGCCCACGTGGTAAGGCAGCCTGGGTCCCTGTCACCATGTCAGCCTCCATGCTAGTAGCTGCCATGTGCCCATCACCGGGCTGTATTGCTGGTGGTTTTCCTAGCAGCTGGGCAGGGACAGGGGCAGGAGCCAGACTTTGTGTCTGACCTGAACCTGGGTCCTGTGCGGGTTGTGATGCTGGATGTCCCTACTTTTTGTTTGTTTTTTGGTCGTGGGGCTTGAACTCTGGCCCTGGGCACTGTCCTCAGCTCTTCAGCTCAAGGCGAGTGCTCTACCACTTGAGCCACAGCGCCACTTTCAGGACACCCCCACCCTTGGCTGTATTTCTCAAATGTATGCAGAGGGCATCTCCAACCCATGGTGTGTGGGTGCAAAGGCGTCATGCCCAGGAAGGCTCTGTGGCTAAGTGGCTTGGGAAGCCACACGTGGCCCAGCTTCTGTAATCCAAGTTCTTTCAGAGTTGTGGACGTTGGAAGCACATGGAGGAAGTACAGAAGTGGGGGCAGTGCGCCCTGATTACCCATGCTGGCTCCGTGGCCCCCCTCTTTGTTGTTGGGAGGGCTGGGTGGTATGGGCAGGACTGGTTTTTCTCTGTTCCTGGTCGTGGTCCTGCTGGGGATCTCCTGTCCTGCACACATTGGTCACATGCTTCTCCGACGGGATTGCTGTTTTCTGTTGTGCAGTTATGCTCTGTGACGGATCCTAGTTTTCTCCTGGATAATTGCATGTTTATAGAGAGGGGCTGCAAGTTGTTCGTGTTACTCTATCTCTGCTCCAAAGCCCCTGACACCATCGCCCCTCTCCTGGGGGAAGTGGGGACCATTTTCTACTCTCTCTGGTGAAATAGAGGAACTCAAGGAGGCTTCTGGTCTGACTTGAAGCTTTGGGTGCATTTGGGACAGGGATGCTGTATTGGTGCTGTCTTTGGAAGGAGATGTGACCAGAATTGAAATCAAAAGCAAAGGTCCTGACGGGACCAGGAGTATGGCAGGCTGTCCTGTCTCTGTTCCTGTCTCAGCCCGAGTGGACTAAAGGAGGCACTCATGGGCTGTGACCAGTGATGCTGGGGTTCTCAGCCCTCGCATAGTCTCCTCCCCACACCTGCCCTTTATCCATGGTCCCTGAGCTGCTCAGTATCTGGCTCCCCCTTTTTTTTTGGTCAGTCATGGAGCTTGAACTGTGGGCCTGCGCACTGTCCCTGAGCTCTTCAGCTCAAAGCTAGTGCTCTACCACTTGAGCCACAGCACCACTTCTGGCTTTCTGATGTTTAATTGTAGTGCAGAGTCTAACGAATTTTCCTGCCCATTCTGGCTTTGAACAGTGGTCCTCAGACCCCAGCCTCCTGAGTAGCTAGCGTGACAAGCGTGAGCCATGGGAGCCCCACACCATCAACTCCCTTAGGTGTCTTTTTCACCTCAGCACTTATGATTGGCCTTCCTGGCTCCACCCCTCCTTTTCTTGATGGTCTGCAGCCTCGAGATGGCCGTCTTGGTCTGTCTTTTCATCTGTCACCTCCTGGCCCAGTCTCTGAGCTCACAGGTCTTTTATGATGGGCCCTAGCCTTTAGCGGTCTCCATGTCTCCCCAGTGCAGGCAGAGGCCGCTGGCGTTCTTGTTCTTCCTCTCTGCCCCCTGCCTCGTACTCCCTCTGCCTGTCTCAGGGGTGTCAGCCCACTCCTCTCTGACTCTGGCTGCACTGGTACCTGCATGTGTGCATCTGTATTTGGCGACAGCCGTGTGGGGCCGTCTCCTCTTCTTTGCTTTGCCAGGGTGGCCATGGTGGGCCTCCTGGCAAGCACCTGCCCTCCCAGGCCCAGGATGGGGCTGTGGCTTGAGCTCTGTCTCAAGTCTGTTGAGGAATCCTTGCGAGAACTGCTCCCCTCACCTCTCTGAGACTCAGTTTCCTGCTCTGGAGGATGGGGTTGGGGGGACGTTGATGGGTCTATAGTGCCTCTGCTGACATTGTGTTCTGGTGTGCTGGGGGTGGAAGTGTGGCTCCAGAGCCCGGGGACTGGGGACATGCCTTTGTGGTCGGGACAACCTAACACTGACTGCTGCTCGTCCTAGGAACAGCTGGGATCCAAGAAGGCAGCGGCAGCTGTCGATGAGCTCTGCAGACAGCGCAGACGCCAAGCGTACTCAAGAGGAAGGGAAGGACTGGGGTGAAGCTGTGGGAACAGCCCGTGTGCCCCGGAAGGGACCAGAGCCTCAGCCCCCATCCAGAAAGGTTCACGGCTGGGCATCGGGCCCCGATTACCAGGTACTGTGGGCCCTGGGTTGGGGGATTCAGTGCCTGGCTGCGTCACTGGTACTGGTGTCCTGTCCTTACCCCACCCTCGTGTGCCTGTTCCTCCAAGCCCCCTGTGTTACTGGTCAGCGGTGGCCACTGCATCAGTGATCAAATCCGCTGTGTTAGTGAACAGCAGTGGCCACTGCATCAGTGATCAGATCCGCTGTGTTAGTGAACAGCAGTGGCCACTGCATCAGTGAGCAGATCTGCTGTGTTAGTGAACAGCAGCGGCCACTGCATCAGTGAGCAGATCCGCTGTGTTAGTAGGCATGGGGTGTCGCTGGGGCCCTGGTGGCCCTGCCTGCCCTGTCTGTACCTGCCTCACCTAGCCATCAGCACAGTGCTGACAGGTTTTTTCACTGTCTTTTTGGCACTTGGCATATCCCATACCTGGCAACCAGTAAGAAACTTGGAAGTGGATAAAAATATCCAATAGTGCTATTCCCCGTGCTTTCTCATGGTCATGTAAAGACTGGTCTGAAGCCACTTTGTTCCTCCTTTGTGTGTGCGTGTGCATGTGTGTTTGTGTGCGTGCGTGCGTGCATGTGTGCGTGTCTTGGGACTGCTTGTTCTCAGAGCCTGGGCACAGTTCCTGAGCTTTCTTTGCTCAAGGCTAGCACTCTACCACTTGAGCCACAGCTCCACTTTCAGTCTTTTGGTAGTTAATAGGAGATAAGAGCCTCATAAACTTTCCTGCCCATGCTGGCTTCAAACAGCAACCTTCAGATCTTAGCCTCCTGAGATTAGGATTACAGGTGTGAGCCACCAGTGCCTGGCTCTGAAGCTGTCCTGACAGGAAAGGTCCGTCTTCTTGTGGCCCTTTGTAATTGGGTTTGTGGCTCCTTTGAGGCCTCAGCCATGGGGCGGAGCTGTGCTCATGACTGTTGGGGTGTACTATTCATCTGCACCGACCCAGTCCTGGGCTTCCTTTTCTTGGCCACATTATAAACATATATTAGGTGTGGAAAGTTGGCATGAGTCCAAACCACATTCCAGATACAGTCAAGGACAGAGGAAAGTGGAAATGCAGATGCTGGGTATGGAAATGCAGATGCTGGGTGTGGGTGTGGTGGTGACCCCTGCTGTCTGAGCCCTCTGGGAAAAGCTTGGTTAGGAGGATCGTGAGCTCAGGCCAGCCTGAGCTACATAGAGAGCCAAATCTCAAAAGCACCAGACCTGCCCGCCTCAGGTCTGTGCCACCCCTTGTCCTGGTCTCACTGGCCACAGCCTCTCCTCTGCTCCCTCGGCAGAAGCCTGCGAGCAGTGTGTTCCGACAGCAGTCCGCTGAGGACAAGGAGGACAAGCCGCCCCCGCGGCAGAAGTTCATCCAGTCCGAGATGTCGGAGGCAGTGGAGAGAGCTCGGAAGCGCCGAGAGGAGGAGGAGCGCCGGGCCCGGGAGGAGAGGCTGGCCGCCTGTGCCGCCAAGCTCAAACAGCTGGACCAGAAATGCAGGCAGGCCCAGAAGGCCAGTGAGGCACAGAAGCAGGTGGAGAAGGAAGTCTCCCCCTCTCCCATCACTGAGAAGGCCTCCCCACAAGAGAATGGCCCTGCTGTCCGCAGAGGTATGAGCCAGGCCCTGGCCTGATAAGGTCCTCTCTTCTGTGTTGCTGGCATGTCCTGTGCTCTGCTGTCCTGTGGCTAAAACCACATTGTGTTGGGAAGCACGGTTACTAGGCCTGGGTCAGCTTTTTAACCTATTTATGCTGCCAGTGTCGAAGGCCTGTGTGCTGTATGCGAAGCACACTGCATTTTCTTTTTTTCTTTTTTTTTTTTGGTCTGGTCATGGGGCCTGAACTCTGGGCCTGGGCGCTGTTCCTCAGCTCTTCAGCTCAAGGCTAGCGCTCTACCACTTGAGCCACAGCGCCACTTCTGGCTTTTTTCTTTTTGCTTATGTGGTGCTGAGAAATCGAACCCAGGGCCTTACACATGCAAGACAGGCGCTCTACCATTGAGCCACCTTCCCAGCCCCACTTTATGCATCTTGTTGTAATCATTACCACACTGTTTAGCTGAAGGTTTAGTTGGTTAAAGGTCTTTTCACTTTTTGCTTTTTGGTATTGGTCCTGGGGCTTGAACATAGGGCCTGGGCTATATCCCTGAGCTTTTTTTTTTGGTCAGTTATGGGGCCTGAACTCTGGGCCTGGGCGCTGTCCCTCAGCTCTTCAGCTCATGAGGCTAGTGCTCTACCACGTGAGTCACAGCACCACTTCCACTTTTCTGGTGGTTTATTGGAGGTAAGAGTCTCATGGACTTCCCTGCCTGGGCTTGGCTTTGAACCACGGTCCTCTGATCTCAGTAGCTAGGACTATAGGCATGAGCCGCTAGCACCCGGTGATCCCTGAGCTTTTTTTGCTCAAGGCTAGTGCTCTGCCACTTGAGCCATAGCTCTACTTCCAGCTATTTGCTGGTTAATTGGAACTTATTGGCGTCTCATAAACTTTCCTGCCCAGTTTGACTCTAAACCAGAATCTTCAGATCTCATCCTTCTGAGCAGCTAGGATTATAGGAGTGAGCCACTGGTCTCTGCCTCACAGGTCTTCATAAAGACATGGGCTCCACCAGACCACAGTAGCTTACACACATAATAAGAGCTACTTAGGACCCTGAGATCTGGACAATCACAGTCTGAGCGAGACCCATTCTCGCAGAAAAGTCCACAAGACTCCATCGCCAAAAATGGTAAAAAGTGCTGGGCGCCGGTGGCTCATGCCTGTAATTCTAGCTACTGTTTTTCTTCTGCTGTTCATCCAAGTCTGAAAGGAGGTGGGCTGGTCTCAGTGCCTGAGAGGGAGGTGAAGGTGGAGAATCTGCCTCGAACATTTTATGTGTCAGGCTATTTCTAGTACATTCTGTGGAGCATCTTAGCACTCAGGAAATCCCTGTGGTCGAGAATGGAATGGGCAACTGAGGCTCAGAATGAGGGGAATCACAGCCAGGGAGTAGGGTCGGGGAAAGGAGGCTCAGGACGAACCCGCTCCTACAGCTGGGGCGCGCTGTGTTTGCGGCTGTCTTATCATAGTGGGTGCGCGGCTGTTGCTGGGTTCATGGCTTCTCTCTTGACCACCAGCTCACGTCCCATCTTTGTCACTCTCTGGGACCACTTACATCCATATGTCCGCAGTGGGGTTTGTGGGGAGTCGGCAGTGGGGGGGGGGGTCTGTGGATGTCTGAGGAGCGCTTAGGCAGGCACTGGGTCGGGCAGTGCACGTGTCCCCACTGCGGAGTGATACAGCCAGGAAAAGAAAAGCACTGGTATTCGCCAGTAGTCGGCCAAGCTCTTTTTTTTTTTTTTGCCGGTCATGGGGCCTGAACTCTGGGTCTGGGCGCTGTCCCTCAGCTCTTCAGCTCAAGGCTAGCACTCTACCACTGGAGCCACTTCCGGCTTTTTCTGTTTATGTAGTGCTGAGGAATCAAACCCAGGGCCTCATGCTTGCAAGGCATGCACTCTACCGCTGAGCCACCTTCCCAGCCCCTCGGCCAAGCTCTTGTAAGTGTGCTATGGCATTCCTTCTCTAGGTTCTCCAGAATTCCCTGCCCAGGAAGCCATCCCTACGTTCCCCGAAGAGGTACCCACGACTTCCCCAGCAGCAGCTCAGAGCAGCAGCAGTGAGGAGGAGTCCAGGGAGGCCGGGTCTCCTGCCCAGGAGTTCAGCAAATATCAGAAGTCCCTTCCCCCACGCTTCCAGCGCCAGCAGCAGCAGCAACAGCAGCAGGTAAGCAGGTGATACAAGATGCTTAGAGGCTGTTATGAGCACCTGGCACTGCCCTGCAATCTGCCAGGCCCATACCCTGGTCCCTTTCTAATCCTAGGACCCTTCTATGTCCTGACCCACCCGTGTGGCCCGTGTGGAGGTCAAGTCACCCCTGCCCCGTCACTAGCCACAATTCGATCACTGCTAAGGAGCGTCGCATGCGTGCTCTTTGTTCAGAGCATGCGCCTCTGACATTCCTTAAGAAGCCCAGAGGCTAGCGGGTGTCTGCGAGGCCTGGGGATTGGGGGTTCCCGCCCAGCCTTGTGTGGCTGTGGATGGGTTGGCAAAGCCCGTTAAGCCCATATTCCTTCTGCGTGAACCAGGGAAGGAGGTGCTGGCTCCAGGGTGGCAGAGACTCTGCAGCGTCCCTGAGATTACTCTGAGCACTGGGGTGCTGCAGCGTGCTTTGTCCTGAGAAGATGGAGTGGCGGCAGCTAGAATTCCTCCAGCCCCCGCCTGGCCTGTGCCAGTACCAGGCGCAGTCCTGGAGCAGTAGGAAAGGGAGCAGTGTCACACGAGGTGCACTTTGGTGGAAACGGTGGCAGCAGGCGATGTTGAGTGAGGGCCTACCTGCGGGTGGGATGCCAAGATCGAGTGCCCGTTCCCCAGGTCTCCTTCCGTCTCCAGTAAGACCTTTACCCAGCGTCTGTGCTTTGGGCCCAGGAGGCACTTGAGAGGCTGTGTTGATTGTGTGGTATGAGCAGGCACCACCTTCACCCAGGCCTTGAGTGGGAGTCCGTGTGGCCTGTGGCAGCTCTTTCAGGCCCTGGGAGGCAGGGGTGGGTGTGTCCTTGCTGCAGAACAGAGCGTGGATGATGGCAGCAGGCCCTGTTGGGGCCTGAGGTCTAGACAGGAGGTGCGTTGCCCTCCCCCTCGCAGCTGATGTGGCTGAGCACTGGCGGCATCACCCTGGGGCCCCAGCCAGGATGGACAGCGGGCTCCCTTCCCTGCTGGCTGTGGCGGCGGGGGCGGGCGGGCGGGCTGGTGGTGCTGTTGTGCTGCTCACCTTTGGGAGGTCGTCCTCGGCTCTTGGGTCCTTGTTGAGAGGGAGGCAGGGCCTTGGTTTTGAACAGTGCATCCATCACATACCACATTCCATGTACCCAGGTGCCAGGAATTCAGTGCCATTGTGAGAAGCGCCAGCAACTCGTGGGACTGGGCTTGTAGGGGTGGGGTGTGTGGCTTCCTAATCGAGTATGTTTAACTCAAGGAGTTAGTGATGGGGAGTGGGAGAAGACCTTTCCAAACATGCCCAGCATGCTCTGCAGCCTGGTGTGGGTCTGCAGGAGTAGAGAGCAGAGGGGTGTAGTGGCAAAGAGTGGAGCCAGGGAAGCACACCAGGCCAGGACCCTCTCACAGGGCCCTGGCGGTCACGGGAAGCCATTTAGGGTCAGGCTGTTGGCGTGAGTGAGGCAGGATGAAGATTCTTGGGAAGTTTGGAGGACATGACTGGTGTGGCAGAAGCAATGCTCTGATGAAGCAGTGGAGGAAGACAAGATGGAGGGGAGGTGGGTGCTGCAGGGAGAGAAGGGCTCCTGGGAGGTGTTTGACCGCTCAGTCAGGTCCCGGAGCCCATCCTGATCCAAATGGAAGCCTGGACTACCTCAGCCCCTGCAGGATTGTCCACATGCCTGGGGTACCCTGAAAGCACGACCTGGCATTGGCTCCTTGTTCTTCTGTTGGGGGCTTTTGGTGTGGCCTGCTGTGGGGGTAGGAATGTGTGTGGCGCCTCCTCCCCGGTCACCTGACCAGGTCCTCTTCCTCTGTTAGGAGCAGCTGTACAAGATGCAGCACTGGCAGCCCGTGTACCCTCCGCCTTCCCACCCGCAACGCACCTTCTACCCACACCACCCCCAGATGCTGGGCTTCGACCCCCGGTGGATGATGATGCCCCCCTACATGGACCCCCGCATCACACCTGCCCGAACCCCCGTGGACTTCTACCCATCAGCCCTCCATCCTTCAGGTGAGTGCCAGAGGCCATGAGAGCCACCTTCAAGAGTGAGGTCGCCCCAAGTCCATTTGCATGACCGGTCTGAGGTCTACATGGTAAAGGCACACATTGTTGGAACCCAGGCTTGGAGCCAGACCTGCAGACTGGAAGCTGTTACTAGGCGGGGCCCTGTCACAATTGCTGTGGCTCGGGCTGACTCGGCCTCTGCTGTGCTAGTTGCCCTTGTTCCAGTCTAACTTCTTTGTATTTCTTTCCTTGTTTCCCTGATGAGTTTAATGCAGTTTATAATTTTTTTTTTTCTTCATTACTTTGTCTTAGTTGGGTTTTAGTTAGTTTCTCTGGCTTCCTTTTAAGTTACTGTGTCCTAATTGTATGAGATGAGCATTTGCTCATTCATGGTTTGCTGTTGTAGGATAACCACAGCCATGGACAACAGTAAGTGCATGTGATTGTTAATGACACTATAAAAAAACATAGCGGGCGGAAAATACACAGCAGGTTAAATTTTGCAGATGGCCATTTGTTAAGTCCAGACTGATAGACACTCCTTCACAGGTTATTGAGTGCTTCTCCCTCCCCCCACCCCCCAACACAAGATTTGGTTTAGCTGTTACTCTGCTTTTACTTGTATGGACAAATAGCCAAACCACTGGTATTTTTCACACCTTGATCAGAGGTGTGTTAAAAGTTGCCCACTGGGAGAGCTGGGGTGGGTGCAGGTAGCTCAGCCACACGCAGTGATTGGATTTCTCACATTCCTTGTAAGTCATTTCTGTTTCCTGTGTCTAGAGGCCTGTGCTGAGGAGTGGGTGCTGCTTGTTCCTCAGTCCCATCATTTGTGCATTACCCTCTCCGCCCAGCCATCACAAAGTCACTGCAGTTTTCTTGATACCTCTGCCCTGCTGTCAGCTCTGAGCCCTGCATCTTAGAGCATCTGTTTTGGTATATGGTTTTAATTAACGTTTAGGTTTACTGGACTATATGTAGATTTTTATTACTATCTTTGCTTTTTTGTCCATCATGGGGCCTGAACTCTGGGCCTGGGCACTGTCCCTCAGCTCTTCAGCTCAGGATTAGCATCCTACCATTTGAGTCACAGCACCACTTCTGGCTTTTTTTTGCTTATGTGGTGCTGAGGAATCGAACCCAGGGCTTCCTGCATGTAAGGCAAGCACTTTACCACTGAGCCACCTTCCCAGCCCTTTACTATCTCATTTTGTATTGTTGATCTTCTTCCCTCCTCCCCAATCTCTGGCTTCATGGAAAGGATTAGAGGCATGCACTACCATACTTGGCATTTCCTGCCTTTTTTGTTGTTGTTGGTTGTAGGCTTGACCTCAGGACCTGGGCGCTGTCCCTAAGCTCTTCAGCTCAAGGCAAGTGCTCTTAACTCTTGAGCCACAGTGCTAACTTCTAGTTTTCTGGTGGTTAATTGGAGATAAAAAGTCTCACAGACTTTCCTTGCCTAGGCTGGGGCTGGCTTTGAAGTGTGGTCCTCAGATCTCAGTCTCCTGAGTAGCTAGAATTACAGGTTGTTGCTGGGCTTCCCTGCCTTTTTTTGAGTTTTCGTTGTCTTTTGGGGTTTTGCGCGTGTTGCCTTCCCTATGCTGATCTTCCCTCTGGGCTGGTGTTGGTTCGTTCCAGCACCGTGAAGGACGGGTGCCCTCTGGCTCCCGTTGGCTGCTGATGGTTGGATTCACTTGAGATTTGCTAGGGCTACAAGTGAGTCCATCTGTGTTTTGCTCTGCATAGAACTCTGCAATTCAATGTAAAGAATTTCTGGGAAATTCTCTTCAAATACTTGTCATGTCAAATGTAGTTCTTAGCCAGCTATTTTTTTTTTTTTGGGGGGGGGGGGTGATAGTCCTGGGGCTGGAACTCTGGCCTGGCCACTGTCCCTGAGCTTCTTTTGCTCAAGGTTAGCATTTTACCATTTGAGCCACAATGCCCGTTCTATCTTGGTACCGAGGAATTGAACCCAGGGCTTCATACATGCAAGGCATGCACTCTACCACTAAGCCACATTCCCAGCCCACCAGCTATACTCACACAAATTCTTCCTCATTCTTTATTGTTGTTCTTGTGTTGTTTATGTCGCATTTTTTAAAGTAGTTGTACAAAGGTTATGATGTCACGAGTCAGGTTATCAGTACAATACAACTTGATCAGTGTCACTGTTTTCATCATTTTCGTCTCTGACCCTACTCTCAGGTTACACAGTTCAATTGTGCATAATGCACATGAGTATAATGACTGCGTTTGTTCACACGTCTTCTCTCCGTTATCTCCCTACCTCCCCTTTGTGCTTATACTTCCTGGTATTACACAGTTGCTTGTTTCTGGGATTACACCACTGAACTTCTTCCCTAATTATCTTTCTCATTTTTAAATCCTTTCTTTCTAGGACTCCCACTGTGTTGTTTTCTTTTTTCGAACTGGCCAGTGGCTTTTTAAGTTTCAGTTCAGTGAGGGGACCTGTTTTGAGACTCAGCTCTGCAAGCCAAACGCTTAGCAGATTCTGCCAGGACTTTTTTGTGGCAGGAAGGTGTTTCAGGTAGTAAGGGTCCCGTACACACCATCTGCCGGTGTTCAGGCCTCATGGTAAATGCTTGACCTGTACTGGGTCTCAGGCCTCCAGAGAAGACTTCACGCCTTATCTGCTGACTGCTAGGTGCCAGGCCAGTGTCAGCCTGGTGCAGCGCCTTCTCTCCACCCACTTAGCTGTGCACCAAACCTGACACTAGGGAGTGCAGAGGCTCTGAAGAGAAGCGTGGCCAGGACCAGATCTCTTTCTCACACTTAGGCGCCCCGCCCTGCCCCCCCCCCCCCCCCCCAGCAGAGTTCCCCATTCAACATGTGGAGTGCTTGCTGTGTGTATGTTCCAGAAAGGGTAGGAGGATGTCATACCTTCTGTCCCACAGGGTTAAAGGTCAGGGGTGCCTCTGGGCCGAGTCTGAACCAGGCAGCTCGGTCAGCACACCCATTTCCCGTTCGTCAGCCAGCCCTCCTGCTCTAGAATCTCCAGTTTCCTTGCTGCTCTGGGAACCAGACTGGCTTCTGGGGCTCAGGATGCTCCTGCTGCATGCGTGTGCACCAGCAGCCGTTTGTCAGAACAGAGGAGGGAGGCTCTAGATGTTGAAGCGTTGGCTGCTGTGGGGGAGCTGTGTCTGCTGTGAGCCCGAGGCTGAGGTGTGGCTCTTGCGGGAGCAGACGGGATTGATCTTTGTTTGACTTTCTTTAGGACTGATGAAGCCCCTGCTGCCCCCGGATTCCCTCACCGGGACTGGCTGCCGCTCTGAAGATCAAAGCTGCGTGCCTCCGCTCCAAGAACGCAAAGTGGCCACCATTGATCCGGCCCCCGTGTGGAGCCCAGAGGGCTACATGGCGCTGCAGAGCAAGGGCTATGCGCTCCCCCACCCGAAGCCCACCGACTCCCTGGCTGTGGACCTCCATGTCAGGTGAGATGCCGCTCCATCCTATTGGCCCGCGCCGTAGGCTGCCTCTCGGGCTCCCAAAGGAGGCCCTGCCGCCCGGGAGGTGCCTGTGCAGGGAGGCGGGGAGGCGTGTGCGAGGTGTGCTTGGATGCTCTTGCTGACGGTGGGGCTTCCTGTGGGAGTCAGCTGTCCCAATCCCGGACAAGCCACGGCTCCAGCTTGTTCATCACGCCAGGGGACCGCCAGCTCCTCTCCGTCTCTCCCCACAGCCACCGCCTTCGCCAGCGCACGGACTACAGGGCTACCCAGCAACGCGTTTAAAGATAGAGCAAATAAATGTTCGCTTGTGTTTTCCTTTCTTTTTTAAAAACATTTTTTTCTTTTTACCACTAAGCTCTGTGTTTGGCGTGGAAACCAGGAACCAAGCTCCAATCACATTGACTGATTTTTCTGGTTCCTTTTCAGGAATGAAAGCTCTTACTGTGCCCCCCCCGGAAGGTCAGGGGGCGTAAGTGCCCAGCGCGATCTCTTTGAGGAGAGAGGGGAGGAGTACTTGAGTGCTTTTGACAAGAAGGCCCAAGCAGACTTTGACAGCTGTCTTTCTTCTCAAAGGATAGGCCAGGAGCTTTCATTTCCACCCCAAGAGAATATTCAGGAGGCGGGTGCTCCTGCGGGTCACACCCCAGGCCTCAGGTGTCCCCCATTGGAGCCTGACTTTGTCCCGGCTGAGAAAAAGCCAGAGTATAGCAGTTGGGACGTCGGCCATCAGCCGAAGGCCACTGACACAGCCGATGGTGCGGAGCAGGAGGTGCCCCGGGAGGAGCGAGCTTGTCACGTCTCCTGGGATCAGGAAGGGAGCCCTGACAAACAGCCTGCCCCTGAGGCAGGGTGGATCCCCGAGCCCCGGGGCTCCCGCAGCCAGCACCAGGAGCAGCCCGGCCGGACCCGGAGGTCGGGGCCCATCAAGAAGCCAGTCCTCAAAGCCCTCAAGGTGGAGGAGAAGGAGAAGGAGCTAGAGAAGGTTAGGCAGGGGCTGAGCGAGGAGAGCACACGCCTGGCCACCGCCAAGGAGCCAGGCCCCAAGGCCCCAGAGGACGAGGACGAGGAGAACGACCCAGCGCTGGCCAACACCTCCCCCTCCGCCCTGGAGGACAAGGCCGCTGGCCATGCAGGCCTGGGCCCCGAGGCCAGCAAGTACGAGGAGGACGAAAAGCTTGAGACAGCCCGGGAGACCAGGGCCTTGAGAGAGCCCAGCGAGCTTCCCCCACCAAAGAGAAACAACTGGATCTTCATCGACGAAGAGCAGGCCTTCGGGGGCCGAGGGCAGGCCTGGGGCCGGGGCCGGGGTTTCAGGGAGTTCTCCTTCCGAGGCCGGCCCGCTGGAGGAACGGGGAGCAGCCTGTGCGGTGGGGGGGTCCTCGGGGCTCGCGGCATCTACGGCAGCAGCCCACGGAGCGGCCGGGGCCGGGGCCTGCAGGACTTCCCTCAGCCCGAAGACGGCCCCAGAGCCAAGCCCCGGCGCCGGATCGCCAGCGAGACCCACAGCGAGGGTTCGGAGTATGAAGAGCTGCCCAAGCGCCGGCGCCAGAGGGGCGCGGAGAACGGCAGCGATGCCTCACTCCTGGAGAGGGAGGAGAGCGCCCTGAAGAAAGACTCCTGGCGCTCCACCAAGATGTACCCCGACGAGCAGAGCAGCCTGGACGCCAAGAGCAGGGGCCCCCGGGCCTTCGGGCGAGCGCTCCCGCCCCGGCTGAGCAACTGTGGGTACGGCCGCAGAGCCTTCGTCTCCAAAGAGCCGCCCCACTGGCAGAGCCGAAGCCCAGGTGGCTCCTGGCAGGAGTACGGCTCCCCCGAACCGTGTGGAGCCCGCCGCGCCCCGGACCGAGACTATATCCCCGACGCCTACCGCCACACAGACACGTACGGCGGCCGGGCCTGCGAGGACGGCCGCCTCGACGACAAGAGGGCCTTCTTCCAGGATGAGCACGGCGCCGATCCAGAAAATGCTGAGAACCGGCCCTTTCGCAGGCGTCGCCCCCCGCGCCAGGACAAGCCCCCTCGCTTCCGGCGCCTCCGCCAAGAGCGGGAATCCCTGGTCCTGTGGGGACCCGAGGACGACCCCCACCTCCTGGCCGGGCAGTGGCCGGGCAGGTCCAAGCTCTGTCCTGGAGACAAGGGCGGCCCCGGGGGTCGCAGGTCCCCGGAGCTGTCCTACCAGAACTCCTCCGATCACGCCAACGAAGAATGGGAGACGGCCTCCGAGAGCAGCGACTTCAGCGAGCGCCGGGAGCGGCGAGAAGGCCATGCAGCCGACCCTGACTCGCAGGGGGACAGTGGCCTACCTGGCGCCAGCTTGGGTGAGAAGAAGGAGCTGGCCAAGAGGAGCTTCTCCAGCCAGAGGCCCCTGGTTGACAGACAGAGCCGCAAGCTGGAGCCGGGAGGGTTTGGGGAGAAGCCCGTTAGGCCAGGTGGTGGTGAGACTTCCCCCCGTGCTGAGAGCCAGCAGAGTGGGACGCCTTTGAAAGCCAAAAGGTAACAAGAGCACCATCCCAGGTCCCTGTTGTCCTGCTCCCAGCAGCTCCAGTCCATGCATGCACCCCGCCAGGCCGGCGCCCCGGCCCGTGTGAGCGTCTCCATCACTTGCTCCTGCATCGCTTGTCTGCTTCTCATGGTGTGTTGTTGTTGATGTTGTGGCTTGATAAAGAGAAACCTAAAAGTGTCCAGTACCTCCCACACTCCCAGCGGCTCGCCCGTGGCTGCTGTCCCAAGCCCTATCTGGCCTCTGAGTGTTCTCGGAGCCCCGGGCGCGCACGCCGGGAGGGGCTGTTGCCTGTGTGGGGGTCAGGCAAGCCCTGGCCACTCCCCCTGATGCCTGTGCTCCAGAGCCGGCCGGGCAGCGTCCTGGCTGGGTATCTTTGGCCTACCAGCTCTTCTCTTAAGTGGCTGTGTTTGTGCCCTCTTGATGTGGCCGGGAGGCATGGGCAGCAGCGGGAATCAGGCCACTCGTGGCCCTGAGCATCTTGTCTCGGAATCAGGCTTTCAGGAGGACGGCCGGCGCTTGGGTGCCCACGCGGGGAAAGAATGGCTTTGTCCACTGCCAAGCCTGGCCCCTCCCTGCCCTCAGAGCACACCAAGAAGATGGCGTCACACTTCCTAGAGTCCTTAGAAGTCCAGGCGTGGACACTCAGGGTGTTAGCACTCTGAGGAGTCCCAGGACAGTTCCTGGCGCCGGGAGTGTGCGTGCACCCTGGCTCTCCAGGCCCCAGAAGCTGACTGGTTCTGCCCTGAGAGCCTTGTGGCGGAGGGAAGCCTGGGCTGCTCTGCCCCGGCCACGGGGCCCCTCTTCCTCTCCTCTCTGCAGTCTGGGAGGCGGGAGTGCTGAGGAGGAGTGCCTGTGGGCACAACTCCACACACGTCTGCCTGTGAACACTACCCAAATACTGCTGTATTTGCAGACCGCGTGCAGTCCAGTTCTTCCTTTTCTCCTTCCCAGCCTGTTGTGGGTTCTGAGTTCATAAGATCCTCTTTCCTTTGCAGGTCTCCAGATGAGGCTCTGCCTGGAGGTCTTGGCTGCAGCGGTGGGAGCGGCCACTCGCCCTACGCTCTGGAGCGGGCCACCCACGCTGGCTCTGACAGCCCCGACCTCTCTGGCGAGAAGGCCGAGAAGGAGGCTGCTCTGGCTGCTCGGAGGGTGAACGAACAGGAAGAGGCCCGGAAGCCGTTTGATCTGAGCTATGGAAGTGAGTCTGCGCTGCCTCTGTCCTTGGGAGAAGGAGCCCTGGGGTTCCAGGGCCGTCACAGTCTACTTCTGAGCACTGCGCTGTGTGGGCCACAGTTCAAGTTCCTGTCTCAACGGTGTTTTTTTTTTTGTTGTTGTTGTTGTTGTTTTCTTTTTTTTGGGGGGGGGGGGTCCAGTCCGGTCATGGGGCCTGAACTCTGGGCCTGGGCACTGTCCTTCAGCTCAAGGCTAGCACTCTACTACTTGAGCCACAGTACTACTTCCGGCTTTTTTCTTTTTGCTTATGTGGTGCTGAGGAATCGAACCCAGGGCCTCTGGCATGCAAGGCAAGCGCTCTACCACCTTTCCAGCTCCTGTTGTTGTTTTCTTTTCCAACCTGTTGTGGGGCTTGAACTCACTGTGTGAGGCTTTGTCCCTGAGCTCTTTTTTTTTTTTTTTTTTTTTTTGCCAGTCCTGGGGGCTTGAACTCAGGGCCTGGGCACTGTCCCTGAGCTGCTTCTTTTTTTTTCCCCCTCAAGGCTAGCGCTCTACTTTTTGAGCCAAGTACTACTTCCGGCTTTTTGTGCTGATGTGGTACTGAGGAATTGAACCTAGGGCTTCATGCATGTCAGACAAGCACTCTACCACTGAGCCACCTTCCCAGCCCTCCTTGAGCCTTTTATTCAAGGCTAGTGCTCTACCACTTTGGCTATGTTGTTGCGTAGTTTCCTGGTGGTTTAATTGGAGGTAATAGTCTCAGATGTTTCCTGCCCAGCTGGCTTCCAGAGCTGTGATCCTCAGACCTCTGCGCCCTGATTAGCTAAGATCACAAGCTTGAGCTACCAGCACCCAGTCCTATAACCCAATGACAAGGATAGCAGGCTCCTGGGGAGGTGTCAGCTGAGTTTAACAGTCCTGTCTCCCGAGACTGTTCCTCCCCATAGTGTGGCTTGGGCTTCCAGGTCAAGCTGGCAGTGTGTTGGGCCAGAGGGTTCTGAAGCTGTGTGTGTGATCATGTCTCCATCACCAAATGTGCCATGATTCCTCAGTTCCCAGCTGTATCTTGGGAATAGGTCTCCCATTGGGTTACCCCTGTCATCTTTTTTGGGGGGATTGAGGGGGAGGTCCAGTCATGGGGCCTGAACTCTGGGCCTGGACGCTGTCCCTCAGCTCTTCAGCTCAAGGCTAGCGCTCTACCACTAGAGTCACAGTGCCACTTCTGGCTTTTTTCTTTTTGCTTATGTGGTGCTGAGGAATGGAACCCAGGGCCTCTGGCATGCAAGGCAAGCGCTCTACCTTCCCAGCCCCACTCCTGCTGTCGTATAAACAGCCTTTCTGTGGCCTCTTTGTTCAGATGCCATCATTGAAAACTGCACATCCAGCCCCGGAGAGGAAAGTGAGGTGGGCTCTATGGTGGGTGAAGGCTTCATTGATGCCCTGACCAAGAAGCAGCGCCGCCTGCTGGAGGAGGAGAGAAGAAAGAAGGAGCAGGCTGCACAGGTGAGGCTGTCCTCTTCCCCCCCGCATCCAGGACGGTGGGCAGCGGGTGGGGGAGCAGTCCTTACACCTACTAGGCAGAATCACCTCCCGCTACTCCTGTCACTGCAGGAGCATGCTGAAGAAGCATGCGGGAGCGCCACAGGGCTGACTCACCCGGGGCTGACCTCTTGTCAGGCAGCCCCAGGCTGCCTTCCCTCACGATCGGCTCGGGGTGGGTGACCCTCCAGGTTGCAAGGCTTGGGGCTGGGTGGGGCGCTGCACACCAGCACCTATGGGTGGATAGCTTGGCCTGGCATTGCACCTTGCCCATCCTGCAGACAGGAGTCATGGCATCTTGAGCTGGTTCAGGGTGGTGACAGTGCTGGAACACTTTTCCTGGGAGGGTTTGTTGCCATTCATACCTTAGGCTCGACTGCCTCACCCTTCTTTCCTGGTAGGTGCCTGTGAAAGGCCGAGGCCTTTCTTCTCGCATTCCTCCTCGATTTGCTAAAAAGCAAAACAGCCTGTGTCTGGAGCAAGGCGATGTGGCTGTGCCTGGCAGCAGCCTGGGCACTGAGATCTGGGAGAGTAGCAGCCAAGGTGAGAGCGAGTGTCTCAATTGGGCAGAGTCCAGCATTCCCGCTGGGGAGTCCCACTTTGAATCCTGCCTGCGGGGGTGGGAGTGTTTCCTGTTCCCAGGCACCTCTGTGTGCAGTGCCCAATGCCACTCCCTGAGAATCCTGGCCCTGGAAAGTTCCCCCATCTGCCTTTGCTATGCTGGGCCAACAGAACGTTGTGCATGTCCATTGTGCTACTCAACTGTTGGGATTGAGCTCCTCACCCACTCCCCTCAGCCGTTCTTCTTATCTTGCAAAAGAGCAACAAATGGTCAGTAGACTGGTGACTGCCTTCCATAACAAGAAGTTTCTCTGAGGAAAAAAGGGAAAAAAAAATCCAGTCCTGGGGCTTGAACTCAGGACCTAGGCACCGTCCCTGAGCTTCTTTTGCTCAAGGCAAGCACTCTACCACTTGAGTCACAGCACCATTTTGGGCTTTTTGGTACTGAGGAATTGAACTCAGGGTTTCATGCATGCTATGCAAGCACTGTACCACTAAGCCACATTATTAGCTCATGTCCCTGAGCTTTTTTGTTCAAGGTGAGTATTCTACCACTTGAGCCACGAACCACAGCTCCACTTCTGAATCTGGTGTTAATTGGAGATAAGAGTGTCACAGACTTACCTGCACAAACTGGCTATGAGCTGTGATCCTCAGATCCTGAACTACATCCTCAGATACTCACTCTCCTGAGTAGTTAGGATTACAGGTGTAAGCCACCTGCACCCTGCTTAAAAAAAATTTTTTTTTTCTCACCCAGAGCTGTGCTTCTCTTAATCTTTGTTTTAAATAGAAAAGCTTTTCTAATTGAATGCTACCTTTGCACAAGGCATACACTCAGCCTTGTGGGTGATGGTTGAGTAAAACAAGGACTTTGTGGCTTACAAATCTTTTTTTTTTTCTTTTTTGGTCGCTCATGGGGCTTGAACTCTGGGCCTGAGCACTGTCCCTGCACTCTTCAGCTCAAGACGAGTGCTCTACCGCTTGAGCCACAGTGCCACTTCCGGTTTTCTAGTGTTTTTATTGGAGATAAGAGTCTCACGAGTTTCCTACCCAGGCTGGCTTTGAACTGTGATCTTCAGATCTCAGCCTTCTGAGTAGCTAGGATTACAGGCATGAGCCACCAGCGCCTGGCTTCTTTGTGGCTTACAACACATTTTTTTTTTCTTTGTTTTTTTGTCAGTCATGGGGCCTGAGCTCTGGGCCTGGGCATTGTCCCTCAGCTCTTCAGCTCAAAACTAGCACTCTACCACTTGAGCCACAGCACCATTTCTAGCTTTTTCTGCTTATGTGGTACTGAGGAATTAAACCCAGGGCCTCATGCATGCAAGGCAAGCACTCTACCACTGAGCATCTTCCCAGCCCCTGCAATAGTTTTGAGTTGCTGTTGGTTTCCAGCCTTTTTTTTTTTTTTAAAACCAATATGTGGCCTTCACAGCTCATACTCTATACAGTTCTGGCTTTTTGCTGGTTAATATGGAGATTGAGTCTCAGAATTTTCTTTTCTTTTCTTTTCTTTTTTTTTTGGGGGGGTCCGGTCCTGGGGCCTGAACTCTGGGCCTGGGCGCTGTCCCTCAGCTCTTCAGCTCAAGGCTAGGGCTCTACCACTTGAGCCACAGCACCACTTCCGGCTTTCTTCTTTTTGCTTATGTGGTGCTGAGGAATCGAACCCAGGGCCTCAGGCATGCAAGGCATGCGCTCTACCACTGAGCCACCTTCCCAGCCCCGAGTCTCAGAATTTTCTGCCTTGGCTAGCTTTGAACCATAATTGTCCAGATCTCCTCTGCGTGTCTGAGACCCTGGCACCCAGCCAGCTTTATTTGGTGGTGGTGTGGGGAGAGAGGGGTTTGAACTCAAAGCGTTGCACACGGTCAGCCTGCCCGCTCCACTGTGACTCCACCATTTCAACTATGTTTCCAGCCTCACTTTTTGATGGGTATTTTGGAGTTGGAGATTCCAAAACTTCTGCCTGAGTTGGCCTTGAACTGAGATCCTCCAGATCCCAGTCTTTCTGGTAGCTGGCTTTACAATGGTTTTTATACAGCGCAGCAGAGGCTTGCTGACAGAGATGATTCCACTGGCACACACAGCTGCCACCCAATATGCTGGTTTTCAGACTGGCTTTTTTGGCTGTCACCTGTCCTTATATTTCTAGTAGAAACCTTGGTGCTGAAAATCATATCAATTGATGTTCTACGTTAGCCAGGGAGCCTGGGGTGAGGGTGAGCTCTGTAGCAGAGCCCTTGCCTAGCATATGTGAGGCCCCGGCTCCTGTCCTCGGGGTCCCAAAAGGTAAAGGAAAGATGGCAGTCTGCAAAGGCTGGGACGACAGAGTTGGGTGGTGTGAGTGATGATGTCATAGGTCATAGATCTCTGGCAGTGGTGCCAGGTTGTCTGGGCAGCCTCCTCTGGCCAAGGAGGTGATCAGGCTTTGAGGTCCATCATTCACACCAAGGGTCCCGGATCCTGAAACAGCACGTGGCGTTTTCCAGGTTTGGTGTCTGGCTTTTGCTTGATTCTCTAAGGGCTCTGTGGTCTTAGAAAATCTCAATGGCCCCTGGCCCTTTCGCAGGCCATAAGCCGTGGGGTGCGGAGGAGCGTGGCCTTCAGTGACGGGGCAGGAGCAGTGGTGGGGTGGGAGGGAGGGAGCTCGCCGCGCTGCACAGAGCCCATGGAACCCTAGACATGGGGTGCTGAGGCCGGCAGAGCTCTTAGAAGGGCTCCGGCCCGCCAGACCCGTTCCCTCCTGGGTTGTCAGCGTGGTGGGGGGCGCAGTGCGGGAGAAGAAGGTATAAGCATCTTCCTGGACTTCGTGCTGCCTTTTTACTCCTGGTTCTCGGCCTCCGTGGTAGCGCTCCCCGTGCAGCCCGCCGCTGGCGACTCCTGGAGGAAAGCGGTGACCGCCTTCAGCAGCGCTGAGCCTGGTTCGTCTGAGGTGAGGCCACTTGTTCCCGGCCTGTCTGGCTCTGGCTGCTAGGCCTTGCACCGGAGGTGCTTCCCCCTGCCCCGCACCATCCACAGCCTTTGTCTTTGATCTGTGTTGTAGAGAGAAGGGGTGTGCCAGGGAGATGCCCCGGTGTGGGAGGTGGATTGGGGGGCTCCTCTGAGCTGGTCCTCTGGGTCACCATCCTGCCTGGGATGGAATGGCGCATGGTGGGCAGCCTTGCCTAGGACCACTCACTTGCTGTGGGTGGCCAATCATGTGAGCTCGTTCATGAGCTGCTGGTGGGGGACAGGGTGGTGCCGGACACTGGTGCTTTGTGGTTCAGGACAGGCCTCTAACCCACTTGGTGCTCTGCACAGCAGGGCTTTAAGAGTAGCCAGGGAGACAGTGGCGTGGACTTGAGTGCCGAGTCCCGGGAGTCGTCGGCCACCTCCTCCCAGCGCAGCTCCCCCTACGGCACTCTGAAGCCAGAGGAGATGAGCGGGCCAGGCCTGGCGGAGCCCAAGGCCGACAGCCACAAGGAGCAGGCTCAGAAGCCACCTGAGCAGAAGGTAGCTGCAAGTCTCCCTCGCGGCGGGCCGGGTGGGCAGAAGGGGCCTGTGTCGTCTTCATGCTCAGGGCATGTGGAAGCTTGAGTTGGGGTGTCTCAGCCGCTCTGTTCTCCCATCCAGGACTCGGAACAAGGCCCGGGACAGAGCAAGGAGCACCGGCCAGGACCCATCGGCAATGAGCGCTCTCTGAAAAACAGGAAGGGCTCTGAGGGGGCCGAGCGCCTCCCCGGCGCTGGCGTGCCACCGGTGAACGGGGTGGAGATTCACGTGGACTCGGTGCTGCCTGTGCCACCCATTGAATTCGGAGTCAGTCCAAAAGTGAGGCTTCCTTCTGTTCTTGGTTGGTGTGCTTAGATCTAGCCCTGCAAAGCGGGGAGGGAGTGTTGACGAGGCACCGGCACTGGCAGGTAGGACTGGATTGCTTCGGTTTGGCAGGGAGTGGGTCCAGGTCCTAAGTTTCTCGGGCTTCGCTGGGGAAGGCCGAGCCAGGGTCACGGCCTCACTTCCTGGGGAAGGTGAGCTGAGCAGGGTTCAGTGGCTCTCTGCCCTTTTCTCCCCAGGACTCTGATTTTAGCTTGCCGCCACGTTCTGCCTCTGGTCCTGCAGGGAATCCTGTGGTGAAACTTCAGGACGCCTTGGCTAGCAATGTAAGCCAACTTCTTCTCCAGCCCTTGCGCAGCCGCTGCCCCAGGCCCTGGGGTGGGACTCGGTAGAGCCTCAGACTGAGTAGGGGGACCCAGCAGCTGCAGACATTGTTAGGCGTCGGGCGGAAATGAGTTCTGTTCATATAGGTTTACAGTGCCAGGCTGGTGAGTTTTCTCAGAATTGTTGATTTTGCTGGCGGACTCGGGCCCTGTGGGAAAGCCCAGCAGTTGGGTTTCCACTGTGTTCGGAAGGACCACTTTGTTGGTTTGCTGAGGGAGAGCCGCAGCCATCTCGAAGCCTGGCTGGCAGGCACGTGGCTGCCAGTAGCCGTCAGTCTGTGTGCTGGGACCGGCTCTCCTGTGGGAGGCCCTGCTCGGTCGGGTGTGGAGGGGCCTCTCCTCTGTTCTGCAGGCAGCAGTCCTGACCTTGGGAGCGCACATTTACACAAGTCAGGGCCTCGTATCCCCACGTGGGTCTCACCCCTGATCGACCGTTTCCTTTGTCCCTGCTCCAGGCAGGGCTGGCGCCGAGTATTCCCATTCTCCGGCGGGACCATCACCTCCAGAGAACCATGGGCCTGTCCCCGATGTCCTTCCCCACCGCTGACCTCACGCTGAAGGTAAGCAGCCTGAGCGGGAGTGCTCCTCACGGCACCCATGGGCCCAGGGCTGGAATTGCCATTCACCCCTGCTGTCCGGGTCATGATTCGCACCCTTCCCCTCTTGCTTCCAAAGATGGAGTCTGCACGCAAGGCTTGGGAAAACTCCCCCAGTTTGCCGGAGCAGAGCTCTCCTGGAGGTGCGGGCTCAGGCCTCCAGCCTCCGTCCTCTGTAGGTGCCTCCAACGGGGTCAACTACAGCTCCTTTGGCGGAGTGTCCATGCCACCCATGCCTGTGGCCTCTGTAGCACCTTCTGCTTCGATGCCAGGTATCTATCGCCTTCCCTGGGCCGAGTGCGGGCCTTTCCATGCTCAGTGCCAAGGGAGCCCTGTAGTGATGCCCCGGGCACCACCCTAGCGCTCTGGCACAGGGGGCACGTGGGAGGGCATGCTTGTTTCCAGGCTGCATGACACGAGCCTTCCCCGTGCTGTTGGCAGTGTGTGCAGTTTGCACGCATCCCTGACACCCGGCCTTCCATAGCAAGCTTCTCCCCCCTGACAGCAGTGGGAGACAGCAGGGCTTGGTCTTGAGTTAGACTCTGGTGCCATGCCAGCTCCCCGTGGCACGGCTCACTCTGAAGCAAGGCCTTGCCTGTTAGGTGCTGGGTCAGCCAGGCCTGTCAGGCGGTGTTCTTAACCTTACTGTCGCTATCCTTGTGTGGGGATTGTCAGGGTCCGCTGCCAGTCTCGATGATGCAGTTCCAATAGATCCTTCTGACCCTCCACTGTGGACTCAAAGCAGGGAGATGAAGAGGACCGTGACTGAGAGGCCGAGGCAGTCTTAGCCAGTACACAGCCCTGCGGGGGCCGGGGGTGGTTGGGAGCATTAGGTGACTGTGCACTGCCCTGCCTTGTCAAGCTGTGCTGGGTGTCTCCCCGCTGCTGCTCGGTGACTGAGGCCCCTCCGGATTCTGTTTCCAGGCAGCCACCTCCCACCTCTGTACCTGGATGGTCACATGTTTGCAAGTCAGCCCCGGCTGGTTCCCCAGACCATACCTCAGCAACAGAGTTACCAGCAGGTGAGGGCAGCAAGGCCGATCACCCACTCAGGTATAGCACAGGTCCCGGCGTGGGGCCCAGCAACGGGCACGCCACGGCAGCCTATTGGAGAGCAGGAGCAAGTGCTTCAGATTTGGCTTAATTTCCTTCCTTCCCGCCTTAACCGGGGGTTCACGTCAGTGATCGGTTGTTTTGATGAAGGAAAGGGTCTCAGATGCAAATGCTTTAGAACGACATAGAGAAGCAAGCAGGGGTTTGGTCAGGGTTTCGTGACAGGGTTGCGTATGTGTCTCCCGCTGAAAGCTGGTGTGGTGCTTCCACGCAGTCCCGTGCTGGCTGACCGTCACCTCGTGTGTTGGTACACTGCAGCGCAGGGTCATCCTGCTGTCTTGGGGCCAGGACTGAGAACGTGACAGGGCCACACCTCTGTCTCAGATGCAGCTCTCTAAAGAGACGTTTAGGTTCTTTATTTTGTCTGTTGGCTTATTTTTGGTACCAGAACTAGGACTTGAACTCAAAGCCTCACACTCTCACTTGGCTTTTTTACACTCCACCACTTGAGCCACACTTCCACTCCCAGCTTTTTGCTGGTGATTGGAGATAAAAGTGTCACACTGATTTTCTTGCAACCCTGATTCTCCAGTCTCAGCCTCCCAAGTAGTTAGGATTGCAGGCGTGAGCCACCAGCTTCATAGAAGCCATCAGCATATGAAGGTTTTATTCTTCACATAGTTGGATCATACTGCATGTGGCACTCTTTAATTCGGCATCATTTCTGACGCTCACCTCTATTGAAAATGTGTTGCTAGAATTAGTTTTCAGTGCTGTGCAGATTCCAGTGTAATGACCCACTGTGCCTCAGGCCCGCTGCCTGTAGGCTTTGTCCTGAGACCAGGAAGGCCAGGCCACTGTGCTGCAGTGTGCCCACAGCAGGAGGGGAGGGGAGGCCAGGCCAGGCCGCTGTGCTGCAGCATGCCCATGGCTGGGGAGGGAGGCCAGGCCAGGCTGCTGTGCTGCAGCATGCCCACAGCAAGAGAGGGGAGGGGAGGCCAGGCCAGGCTGCTGTGCTGCAGCATGCCCACGGCAGGGGAGGAGAAGGGAGGGAGGCCAGGCCAGGTGCTGTGCTGCAGAGTGCTCAGGGCAGGGGAGAAGAGGGGAGGGGAGGCCAGGTCAGGCTGCTGTGCTGCAGCATGCCCACGGCAGGGGAGGAGAAGGGAGGGAGGCCAGGCCAGGTGCTGTGCTGCAGAGTGCTCAGGGCAGGGCCTGGCTGCCGTGCGGAGGCTGGGGTGAGGTAGGGAGCCATGGGAGGTGCTGTACTGACAACTAGCTCCTGTTCTAGGCTGCCGCTGCCCAACAGATCCCGATCTCTCTTCACACGTCTCTGCAGGCTCAGGCCCAGCTTGGACTGAGGGGAGGGCTCCCTGTGTCGCAGTCCCAGGAGATCTTCAGCTCCTTACAGCCCTTCAGGTGAGAGCTCACAGCGCACCTTCAGACCTGACATTCCTTTGCTCCAGCTGCGTGCACTCCAGCCGCAGATGGGCCATCCATGGTGACCTCATCTCTTTCTAGTCCGTTGCTCGCTGCTCTGGAGCATGGAGATCTTGTGTTTTCTTCTCTGTGTCCTCTTCCCTTATCACCTTCCTCTGATGCCCTACCTTGGGCATGTGGCCTGTGGTGCCCCTCCATGTTCCCCAGACCAGCAGGAGGGATGGGACGCAAGAGTTTCCTTAGCTCTCAGGATCCTGGCTATCGATTAGGCCTAGACCATGTGTGTGCCCTCTTCCTGATCCTTGCGTCTGTCTGGCTTTTGCAGGTCTCAGGTGTACATGCACCCCAGCCTGTCACCGCCTAGCACCATGATCCTCTCTGGGGGCACGGCCTTGAAGCCTCCATACTCCGCATTCCCAGGCATGCAGCCCTTGGAGATGGTGAAGCCCCAGTCCGGCTCCCCCTACCAGCCCCTGAGTGGGAGCCAGGCCCTGGTCTACGAGGGCCAGCTGGGCCAGGCTCCGGGGCTGGGAGCCTCCCAGATGCTGGACTCTCCGCTCCCACAGGTCAGATTTGTTGCTCCATTCCTGAACGCTGGGCTTGCTGCCAGTGTGGCCCACTTCTGCCCTATCGTCTCCCCAGTGCCCCAATCTGGTCTGTGTGTATGTAGCCTCTTGGGATAGGCCGCACCACTTATCCCAAAGGCAGCACTCACTCCTCCTTAGGTCTGTGGTGCTCTCTGCCCTTCCCTCCCTTCCCCAAGTCCCCAGTTAGAAGCATCCATCGCACTTCTGCTCAGCTTGGCCGCCACTGTTGGGCTTTGCACTGGGAGCTTGTCTGCAAGCCTACCTAGCCCCCATAATTACCTGTAACTTCGTCTGGCACAGCCTCAAGTGTAGCGTCCTAACTCCTGACCCGCCCCACCTCTTCCAGACCTGCCCCCTCTATCATCTCTCAGCCCCAGCCAGGCCTCACTTCATCCTCGAAGCCGCCTGGTGCAGCCACAGCTGTGGTCTGGTCAGCTCTGCCCACTAGCAGGCACTGCACTAGGTTCTCCCTGCAGCCCCGTCCCGCCCCGCCTGGCTCCTTCTGTCTCCAAAGACTCCTCTCCCTCCCTGCACGTTGATGCACTGCTGGGGAGACCAAGGCCACCCCGCGAGACCTCTGCCCCAGGGCTTCCCCCACCCTCGTCAGCATGTGTGTGCTCTGTGCTGCCATTGGTGTGCGGTCACCCCACCCTATTGGATCCCTTGGAAGTGTGGTCTTCAGCACATTATCCTGGTTTTCTTCATTCCTCCTCAGACCTCCTTCCTGGTACCCCTGGTCCAGTGCTGGACAGGCCCCAGGCCCTTCCTTTGGGCCACTTTATTAGCTCATGGCTGGATTCTTCTTTTGCCTCCCATTGTCCCTGTCCAAATCATTGTGCTTCCGACTCCTCCACCCCCTTCGGGCCCTTCAGCTGGTCCCATCTGCCCTGCCCTCACAGAGGACTCAGTGTCCAGCCAATTCTCATCTTCCTGCCCTAACCAACCAAGCCCGCCGCTGCCTCGGCAGCCCATTTTGCCCCCCACCCCCACCTCCCTAGCCTGCCCATGAACACAACTGCCAGGCAGTGGTCCTTTCAAAATGCAAAACCTACAGCTGGGTGCCGGTGGCTCACGCCTGTAATCCTCGCTACTCGGGGGACTGAGATCTGAGGGCCACAGTTCAAAGCCAGCCTGGGCAGGAAAGTCTGTGAGACTCTTTACTTACAATAAACCACCAGAAAACTGGAAAGTGGCGCTATGGCTCAAGTGGTAGAGCATTAGCCTTGAGCTGAAGAGCTGAGGGACAGTGTCCAGGCCCAGAGTTCAAACCCCACGACCAACCCTCCCTCTCCTGTTCCCCCCCCCCCCCCCCCCCCCCCCAAAAAAAAAAAAAAAGCAAACCAGTTGGGCCCAGAGGCTCACACCTGTCATCCTGGCTATTCAGGAGGCTGATTGCTGAGGATACAGCTTAAACCCAGCCTGGGCAGTAAAGTCTGTGAGATTCTTTGTTCTTTTTTTTTTTTTTTTTTGGGTCGGTCGCAGGGCCTGAACTCTGGGCCTGGACGCTGCCCCTCAGCTCTTCAGCTCAAGGCTAGTGCTCTACCACTTGAGCCACAGCGCCACTTCTGGCTTTTTCTGCTTATGTGGTGCTGAGGAATCGAACCCAGGGCCTCATGCATGCGAGGCAAGCACTCTACCACTGAGCCACCTTCCCAGCCCCTGTGAGATTCTTACATTTCCAATTAACCACCAAAAACCCAGAAGTGGATCTGTGGCTCAAGTGGTAGAGAGCTATCCTTGAGCAAAAAAAGCTCTAGAACATTGCCCAGGCTCAGAGTTCAAGCTCTAGGATCCTCCCTCTCCCCAAAACCAAATGCAAGATCAGGGGACCTCTCCAGCATGGCACCCTCCCCCCTGTTGCACTTCAGGCACAAACGTGGGTCTCACTGATGCAGTGCCAATAGATCCTTCTGACCCTCCACTGTGGACTCAAGCAGGGAGATGAAGAGAGGACCGTGACTGAGAGACGAAAGCGGGCCAGCTCTGTCCTGTGCCCCGGGAGGCCACTCCCTCTGCCCCCTCACCTTCCTGTCCTGGACCCCTTGATCCCTGTTGGAGGTGCTGCTATTCTGTCGTCACGTGCTTTAGAGGGACCCAGGCTCCAGCTGGTCATGTTTATTGCCCGTTGATGCAAAAGCAAAGGGGCAAAAAAGCCTTCCTGCCCTCCCCGCCTGTCTTTCCACCTCTACCTGGTGTGCACCTGTGCATGTGCACACAGGTCAGGCCAAGCTCGTGCTGCGTTCTGGGCACCTGTATAATGTGTCACACAGTGTCCCGTGATTGCCTGGCCTCCCAGCCCTTCTGCATTGTCAAGCGGAGGCAGAAAGGCTGAAGAGGCACAGAGGGTGCACTTGCACTGTGTGGTTGTGTGTTCTGGGCAGTCCTGTGAGTGGGTTCGGGGGGGGGGGGTGCACTCAGTAGCTCTTTCCCCTTGGTCCATTCCTGACATCTCTGTCTCCCGACAGCTGACCATGCCGCTACCCCGGTACGGCTCTGGGCAACAGCCACTGATCCTGCCGCAGTCCATTCAGCTGCCACCAGGACAGAGCCTCTCTGTTGGGGCTCCTCGAAGGATTCCTCCACCTGGCTCCCAGCCACCGGTCCTGAACACCAGCAGAGAGGTAAGGCTTATCTGATGGTCATGATCCCGGGAGGGGTGTGGCCTGGCCAGCGCTCCTTGGTGGCGAGGTAGAAAGCAAGGGGCACAGGCGGGGTGGGGGGTGGGCGTGCAGGTTGCCAGCCTCAAGTCTATGCAGCTTTGCCATACCGCAGAGGCCTCACTATCCCCGTGTCCAGGCTCCTAGGCTAGGGTTGAGGGTAAAGTGGGCGGGAACAGGCGCCCATCGGCACAGAAGGGGCCCATGGCCCGAGCCATAGCCACGTAGCAGCAACCACACGGAGCCTTTGCAGACGCAGGTCCCCACTTGACATCACCAGGCCTAAGAGAGGAGTGTGTGCCCTCCCTGGCCTTGTGCGGCTCTTCCGTGGGTGGCACCCGGCCAGTGCTTCACACGCTCCACACCAGTCAGCGCCTGTTGCCACGCAGCACAGTAAGACGCCAACCGCAGTGCAGGCGCGCCAGTGCTCAGGAGGCAGAGGCAGGCAGCTTGAGTTCCAAGTTAGCCTGTGCTACAGAGTGGGACACCTCCCCATCATTGGATAGTTCCCGCTTCTACGAAAAAGCCTGGATTGGGAGGGAGGGCCTAAAGATTCTTCTGAAAGATGTCTCTCTGGAAATATGCACAGTCTCTGGCCTGCTCTGTCTGGGGTGGGTCACTGAGGGCCAGAGAGTCCTCATCCCCATCCCCATGGCTGTGGCTGTGAAGTAACGCCTGCTGTTTCTCTTTCCCTTCAGTCATCTCAGATGGACCTGAAAGGCTTCCACTTTGCCGACAGTAAACAGAATGTGCCTACAGGAGGCTCCACGCCTTCACCACAGACCTACAGGTAAAGACACGCTGGGGGCTGCAGCCAGCCACCCAGTGGGCCCAGGGAGAGCCGGGGAGGGGAGGGGGCCAGCGTGTCACCGCACACACCAGGTGTACATGGTTCACCGTGGCAAAGGAAGATGAGGAGGTTGGAACATTCCTTCCCCAGCTCCCACTTGAGCCTGGTCAGGGCCTGTGGGCTCTTGGTTTCCTCCCTGGCATCTTCTCCGCCTCCAGTGACATCCAGCTCCCCTGTTGGGTCACGGTAGGGACTCCGGTCCCCGTGCTAGGATGGGAAGTCATCTATGTCCTTGGGCCTGTCTTGTTCCATGTGGGACGTCCCCGCTCCCCCTGAGCTTGCACACGATCACGACACAGACAACCCGTGGAGCCATGAGTTCAAACCCCACCCTGGGCCTTGCTCTCACTGGACATTCTGCCTGTCACTCTTGATACATGTGGCTGCAGCGGCCACCTCTAGCCGCTGCTCATCCCCCTTCAGGAGCGGCTTCCTGAGGTTGCCTCCGTTTTGGTTCTTGCCATCTTGGCTGGTTTTGCACTTGCTTTGTTCATTCTCCCCATTGCCTGTCAGTGGGTCCACACATCTGCTAGGACAGCCGTACTGAGCAAGGAGTGCAGCCCGGGGAGCGGGGAGAGAGGAAGGCAGCGAGCAAGTGGGCATGTGCCACAGCTCCCTGCCATCCCCATGCTGTGGCGCAGGTTGGACCAGGGCACCTGGCTGCTTCCAGTTGCACCAAGCAATAGCGAGGTTCTTGGGAGGAGCAGCTAGCCCTCTGTGCACTGGAAATACCTGACTGTCTTTCTCCCTGCGCTGTGCAGTAACCACTGTTTGTGCAGCATTTATAAGGAATCCCGAGGTGACTTCAAGTACACAGGAGAGACTGAGGCATGGCTTAGTGGTAGAACACTTGCATACTGGCACACGAGGCTGTGTTGCGTACCCAGCACATGCGTGTGCACGTGCAGTGCACACCCGCGCAGTGAACTGGAGCACGTGCACAGGTTAAGGCAAATTCCACACTGCTCGTATAATAGCATGGAGCATCTGTGGGGGTGCTGGAACCCTCCCCTGTGGGTCCCCAGGGGCCTCTGGAAAAGGGGGCTGCTGAGTCAGGCTCTGCAAGAAGGGTTTTCCCAAGACTGCAATCCTAGGGCTGTGCCGTCTCAAGATGGTGCGGGCAGGTGGCAGCCCACCAGCACAGGATCCAAGCACCCTACACTGACTCTGAAACTCTGCCTACATCTTCACCTTGGTCCCCAAAGCCCTGGAGGCCCTCTGATCTGTTGCTGTCCTGTCTCCTGTGCCCATCAGTGCACAGTGGGACTAGAATATTGCGCTGCACCATTCTTGCTCCGTGTCAGGCTTATTTATAGACTCTTTTATCTGGGCACCGCACCTTGTTGATCCCAACCCCTAAACCCTAGAGATAGTCAGTGCCTGTCCACGACAGGGCCTTGTCTTTGGCTTGGCGCCGCCCTGCACGGCTCCCCCTCTCCCTCCCCTCCCTCCCCCCCCCCCCCCCCCCCCACTTGGTCTCCTAGAAGTACCAGGGTAGACCATGGTGACCCTCTTCTTTTTTCTGCATTCTTGACTGTGTAAGGTCTTTTTTTTTCCCATCTGTGAGGTTTCTAACTGTCCAGAGCAGGTGCCCTGGCCACAGAGCCCTCCTTCCTCACACCTCCTCTGAATGCTTGGCTTTGACTTCATCTCTGGTGACACATGTGTATTCTCAACCCTGCCTTTGGTTTTTGCAGGCCTAGCTCTGCTAGCCCCAGTGGGAAGCCCTCTGGATCAGCAGTTAACATGGGCTCTGTGCAGGGACACTACGTCCAACAGGTAGAAGACGGCTTTCCAGACCCTGCGGCCCTGGACGCTTAGGCCTGTCTCCCAGCGCCAAAGAAGGGACTGTCCAATTGATCGAGCACTCCATTTACAGAGACCCGCCCACCACTTAGGGCTGGGTGGCTAAGTCCCTCCTGGCAAAGGCCTTTTCTCCTCTTGATGGGCCTCTGAATCCTTCCTTGTCCTGCAGAGGAGGGAGGATGAGACACCAGGTGCCCCAGGCCGTTTAGGCCATCATGGTGCTCTGGGAGACTAGGTTAGGCCTGTGGGTTAGCTCTAGAGGCCGGGTGTGTGCTCGTGCTAGCTGTAGTACGTGGTATGTGGTGTCTGTTCTGGCTGGGCGGGATGGCCGAGGACTGAGCTCTCCCTTGGACAGGAGTGTCTCCCAGTGTCTTCCCCTGCAGGCCTCTTCTACTCTACAGCACACGCTGGGGCTCCAGAGCACAGGATGTCAGGCCTGGGTCTTAGTGAGTTCAGCATCACTGGCTGGTGGCCACAGGGGGGAGGGGGGAGGGGCAGTGTTCTCTCCTATCACCCTCCACTTCCCCCCCTCCCCAAGTCCTGTGGGATGAGTTTCCAAAGCTTTCTCTCAGGGCTGGGGTTGAAGGAGGGTGGTGTATGGATTCTATCCCTAGAACTGCAAAACAGCAATAGGGAAAGGGAGGGAGGAAGCTTCTCCTGGAGTCTGGTGGCAGAACTTGGCTAGCCACCAGTGATGGCTTCTGCTGGTGGAGCTACAGGCCACTGGAACTTGATTGGGAGTCAAACTTGAGTGGTGGAGGAGGAGTTACAGTGAGAGTTGGAGCTTCATTGATTTAACAAGGAAGAATAAATCTGTCCCACCTCGCCCCTTCCAAGGATAATTGGGGTGGTGCCAAGGCTTACAGTACGATTGGGATCTGTGTAAAAGGCCTTCTGCCTTTGGGGTGCAGGTGGGCTGGTTGAAGAAAGTTCTTCCCATCAGCCTTGGTACCAGAAATGTTGATTGTCCTGAAGGACCCGCACCTCTCTGCCGCACCTCCATGAATCACTGCACCCTGTGCCCATGGCAGGGCGCCCCCTGGTGGGCTCCCGGCTAGGACAGCCACCTCCTGTGCTGCTGCAAAGCTGTGGGCCGAGCCCCGCAGTAGAGCGATTGTGTGCAAGGCCCCAGGCTCCCGTCCCCAGCTCTGCTCTCTGAACAAAGGAGACACAATGTAGGATGGCTTTTCTTTTGTACAACTCAGGAACAGGAAAGGAGTGGTGGGAACTGGGTCTCTCAACACATTTCTACCTTGGGCTGATCTTCTTTTCACTGTCCAAAGGGAAAAAGAGTGGATGAAAACCCCAGCCTGGGAGCCGTGAAGCTGCAGGAGGCCCCCTCGGCCCCCTCCCAGATGAAGCGGACCGGAGCGATCAAGCCTCGGGCTGTCAAGGTGGAGGAGAGTAAAGCCTGAAGGTGCCCGGTGCCCTTGCCCTCCCCCCTTGGGGATGCCGCCGCCTGGCCTGGATAGACATGCTTGGGACCTCACGGGACCACAGTTCACCCACCTGGCCTACACTGAGAGCTCTCCTCTCCTCCACTCCAAAAGCTCCGTCGTCAGCCAGCTCGCACTGTGGATACGTGGCATTGACCTGCTTGCTTTGATTCAAAACAAAAGAGCAATGTCCCCCCGCCCCCAGTGACTGGAGTGAGTCGCCTTCGTGCAGTACAGACCCGCCCACCCGCCCGCCTGCCCCTCCCCCGGTACAGTGGCTTGGCAGCAGGGTCATTTTAGCCGAAGGCTTTTTGTTTTAAGCAGCAGCTAAGGTTTTTACAAAGGGGAAAGGAAACAAATGCCAGCTACGTCTGTATAGCTGAACTTTTCTATGTTCCTCGCTCTCCTCTCCCTGTCCCCCTGCTGTCCCAGTGATCTCCTTTTACATTTGTCCTGTTTGACACATCACTGAAAGACCTTAAGAGATGACTCTTAAGGATGTGCCCCTGCCCCTGGTTGGTGAGCCTTTGGGGTTCTAAGGACATGATCGCGAGTGCTCTGCTTGTCCGTGTGGAGAGGTGAGCGGAGGGTAGGTAGGTGGTGTCTTGGTGGGGCCACAGCCCCCAGCCTGAGGTTGATGACACTCTAACATGAGACTCACACATGTGTCTGTCTGGGCTCTTCTGAAGCCAGTGGGCATGCTAACTGCCGAGTCCCGGAGATGAATAGTAGCGCTACTGTCACTGTCCTTCAGATTGGGAAGGTGCGTGGGGACACCCGCAGGCCACAGAACTGTGCCGTGCTTCCGGGGCCCCACACCTTGCCCCGTGAGGCTGCTGTTCCCACTCACTTCCTTCCAGCTCCTCAGCATCTCCACCTCCCCAACCCTCATGGCTCATCAGAGAAGCCATTGACAGGCACATGGACACCCCCTGGCTCTCTGAACAGAGGCAGTGCTCCCTAAAGCAGGTGGCAGGAGACTCTCCTCTTCCTCTTGTTGCTGTCTCCCCACAGTAGACCCAGGAAGCCGGGGTGCAGGGAACAGGGCAGCAGGCCAGACCTCCATGGCGTGTCCTTACCAGTGAGCAAAGTCTGAGCCTTGGGGGCTTTCCTTACAAGCCAGCCTCTCTAAAATGTTTCTGTGGGCCACAGTTTGGTAGGCTTCTGGCTTTTTAATAAGAAATGGGAAGAAATCATCCCTAACTCCATCATTCCAAGGAAAGATGACAGGAATTTCAGTTTCTCACAAGCTGTTTGGGGTCCTTTACACCCTCCAGCCCGTGGGAGCTGCCTGCCCCCCACCCCGCCATGGTCCCAGAGATCTGCCTCCAAGCAAAGAGACAGGCTAGGACACACCTGCCCTGGCTGTGTGCGCACGCGCGGCACTGTCACATGGAGTCTGCAAACCCTGAGCTCCGAGCTACGTGATGCAGTCGGGGAAGAAGCACCTGTGGTCTGTGCGCAGGTGGTTGCAGCGTCCCTCAGCACAGCGCCATTCCTCATTCCTGTTGGCCTCTGGCCAGGACAGTCCCGCAGAAAGGCCTTCCTGCCCCTCTCTAGCTCTCGGCCCCTCCCCCTGGGCCTCCGCCCCTCTAGCTTGTCGCCTTTTCTTCATCTCGTAAGTCTTGCCCTGCTCGAAGGGCTGCCCATGTAGTTTCCAGCCTGTGTCTCGAGTCATTGCCAAGCCATCTCCAGATGAGTGGATCAGCCACAGACTGAGCCACACGCAGTCCCACTGTCGCCTCCACCCGTCCTCACAGCCACGCCTGCCCACTTAACACTGGCGCACAGGTGTCAAGAGAACAAAGTTTTCTTGTGAAATTGAACAGAACAGGCCTGGACGCTGTTACAAATGCAAGATGTACCTTCAGGTGAGCCTGCCCTCATCAGTTGACAGTACTTCCGAGAAACAAACAAAAGGTCACCTGTTCTCATCCCTCTCTCCCTGTACTTCTCTTCCCCACTCCAAATAAAAAGAAAACACTAGAATTTATTTATATGTATTGATGTTGTAGGTCTAGGTGAAGAAGTAAATGTTCCACTGTTCTATTTATATATAATGTCTGAATTACTCTGCAGGAAAGGCCGGGAAATGGCATGTCAAGGTTGGTAAGTGCACCACCTGTGTGACCTCAGCTTCGGGCTCCTGTCCTCTGAGATGCACAGGAGGACAGAGGGCAGGCCTCCGGCCTCCTGACACCCCACCCTTTCCATGGACTACTTTTAGTGCAGAGACATTTTAAGGTGCAATATCTCTTCATGTGATTTTTAGAGCCAAGCTCAAGATAACAGAACTTGGGGTGTTAGTTTGGTTTCAAACCCACATCAGCAGACTGCAAGTCCGTGTAGGAGCTTCTGTTGGCATGCCCAGCCCTCGCAGCCAGCAACAGATGATGGCCAGGCCCGCCCTTCAGAGGTGGAGGGTGGAGACAGGCTCATCATCGCCTCTGTCTTGGCACTGTGGTGGCTCCCGGCCTGGCACAGAGACTGTAGTGGTGGCAGCCCTTCCCAGGACTGCTCAGTGGAATGAAGCTCCCTGTGGGACATTGGGAACGGAGCATCGGCTCACTGATCCTCTGCCAGCCCTTCCTCTCCCCATCTGCTTTCTCAGCAGTTGCTTTCCCTGTTTCATTTGCATTATTGTTTTCAAACTTGGAATTCATAGAACACATCTGGCCGAGGTCCCTAAAGGGGGAATCTAAGGTGGTTTGTGACAGGTGGAGAAAGGCCGGGTCCACCCCAAGGCCATGGTCAGTCACATCCTTGGGATGTTGGGTTAACTTGGTACATACTGACACTGCCCTTCTATCTTCTGGATCTGCCTTTCAGTTTGTGGCTGGTGTGCAGCCCATGTGGCTGGTGCGTGGCCTGTGGTGGGCTGGCCTGAGACTGCATGGCAACTGGGGATAAGTCCCGCCCCCGTCATCCACTGGCTTCCCTCTGCCCAGTACCTGCATGTTGCCTTGCCAATTTTTTTTTTTTTTTGGTCCCTTTTCACTTCTTGCAGAGCTAGCCAGGGTTAGAGGGTCTGCTGGGACTGGCCTTTGACAACTGTGGATAGTGGAGTGTGTGTGTGCTGTCGTGTTCTGTGATGAAGGGAGTTGGGGGGGGGGGGGTACAGACTTCCAGGAAGCCAGTTGTCCTCAGAATGAGGTGGACCCAAGGGACAGGAGGGGCTCAGTCTTGGTGACCACCACTGTTACCCACCCATGTTCTCCACCAGGGCCACCAGCATAGATCTGAGGAGTGACCTTCAAGTGTTGGAGAGCCACAGTTCACTGTTTTCCACCCGTTTTGGTGGCTTCCAGGATGGTCACAGCACTTGCAGTTTCTGAGTGGCAATTCCGAGGACCGCGCAGGGCGAGAGCTGTCACTGTGCAAAGTGCACCTGTACCTAAGCTTTTGGGCCTCATCCCTCGTGTAGTAAAAAGGATTTGGGTGGTTTGTTTTTGAGAAACTTACGTTTTTGTTTTCGTTTCTTTTTGCTTTTATTTTGGCCTATCCTCTCTTTGTCTCTTCATGTAGACCAGGTATTTGAAAGGGCAGACGATGGCTAACGGTGTACTGTGCAGCTTGTTGATATGTGATCATAGGAGAAACTGATACCTCGGATGGGAAATGGAATTGTGGGTTCACCCTCCCTTCCCTCCAGTTCAGAACCTGTTGTTTCTCCTTTCAAATATGTGATTGTACTAGCTCTTTCCATATGAAAGAACTCTTCCTTATTTAAATAAAAAAAGTTTAAAAATAAAGCTGAGCGTGCTTTCTCCGGTTGCCTGTGCCTGTTTCTGGGCCATGTGATTGGAGAGGCCTGGAGTTGGAGTGAACTGGTCCGGGGTCCAGGCGGGGGCAGCCCGCCTCGGCCTGCGCTGCGGGGCGCTGCGGGCCGGGGCGCGGCCAGGGCGGGGGCCAGGGCGGCCCGGGCCGCACGGCGCGCCGCGAGGGCCTCGGGGCTCCGGACTCGGGGTGGGGTCGCAGCACGGGGCCTACTGGCCGCCAAGGAAACCGTCACCCTGTCCTCTGTGGGAGAGCCATCACGAAGTCCTCGCCTCCTGCGGGGGCGCCGGGCCTCTGCCTTTCCCGCGCTCCAAACCTGCCTGACCTGCGCACGCGCTCACCTACACAGACATACTGCGCATGCGTGCCGCTGCCTGCGGGGGGGGGGGCGCCCTACTGCGCACGCGCGCGGTCGCAACCCGCCGGCACGGTTAGTCGAGTGTCGATCGGTGAGCAGTGCGAAGCGCCGAGCGCGGAGCGCATCGCGCGCACCCGCCATCCTTCCCGCCGGTCCCTGGCTAACCCGGCGCCGGAACCACTCTGCGGGACTCGGAGAGCGCGAGTAAGTGTGGGGCGCCGAGGCCGGGCGGACGGGGCGCGGGGCGCTGCTCCGGGGAGAGCCGGAGGGCTGGGGCCGGCGCGGCCCGGGGGCGACGGCAGGCCGGGGCTCGGGTCTGGAAGGGGGGCCCTAGAGGGGCCCGCGGGGCGGCTGCGGGGCGGCTGCGGGGCGGCTGCGGGGCGGCTGCGGGGCGGCTGCGGGGCGGGGGAGGAAAGGAGCCGCGAGCTGCGGGGCGGCGCGACCTGGGCGCGCCGGGGTGTCCAAGGTGGACGCACCCCTGGTTCAGGGAAGCGCGCCCGGCGGGGGGCGGCGCCGCGGGGGCCGGGGGAAGCCCGAGAGCCCCGCGCCCCGCCGCCCGCGCCCCGCCGCCCGCGCCCCGCCGCCCGCGCCCCGCGCCCGCGCCCCGCCGCCCGCGCCCCGCCGCCCGCGCCCCGCCGCCCGCGCCCCGCCGCCCGCGCCCCGCGCCCCTCCTCCAGAAGTGACCGTTCGGCCCCTGCCGGAACCTTCCAGCAGGCGCGGGCAGCTGAGGCTTGGTTTTCTCCGCGGGATCGGGGGGCGTGGGGGGGGGGGGCTTCGGGAACCTTCCGCAGCCTCCAGGGCTGCCGCCCTTTTCTAACCTTCTTTTCCAGAGTGTCCTCCCGAACGAGATGCTGGGGTGTTTGAAGCGCCCGGTAATGGTGACGGCCGACGTCAACTTGAACCTGGTGGTCCTGACAGCCGCCGGGCTGCTGAGCCGGCTGTGGCGCCTGACCTACCCTCGGGCCGTGGTGTAAGGGGGCCGCGGGGGGGGGGGGGGTCCCGGTGACAGCGCCCAGGGGACAAGTTCTGGCCGCTCCGGGCCCCGCGGTGGTGGACATTCCAGCACAGGGTGTCCCAGGACGGCCTGCCCCTGCCCATCCGTCTGTGGCAGGTAAAGCTTGGCACTTTAAACGAGGGCAGAAAAGGAAAACATCATCTAATTTTCAGGTTGGAGGGCAGGTGTTAGCTAACTTAGTAGTGAGTCTTCATTGTAGAGTGCTTGCTTTGTTCATAATGGGAAACAAATGCTCCCAATGTTCTTTTTGCTTTCCTTTTTATTCCCTCTCCTCCCCTCCCCTCCCCTGTCCTTCCCTTCCCTTTCCCTCTCCTTCCCTTCCCTTTCCCTCCCCTTCTCTCCTCTCCCCTCCCTTCTTCCCCCCCCCTTACACACACCTGCCTTTCCTTCCTTTTTTTGGGGGTCTTGGAACTTCAACTCAGAGCCTAGATGCTGTCCCTGAGCTTTTCTGCTCAAGGATAGTGCACAACCACTTTAAGCTACTTCTGGTTTTCTGGTGGTTAATTTGAGGTAAGAGTCTCACAGACTTTCCTGCCTGCACTGGCTTGGAATTGCGGTCCTCAGATCTCAGGCTGCTGAGTAGCTAGGATTACAGGCGTGAGCCGTGGGCACCTGGCTTTGTTTTACTGTTTCTTAATGGGAACCAACATCCAAAACTAAACTGCTAACCCTCTCCACCAACATGTTATTTACGTAGTTTCTGCACTTATCAGCTCAGAACCAATCCCTCCCACAGTGGATTAGTTTGAAGCAATCCTAGAATTTAATTTATAAATAGTCCAGTTTATTTCCAAAAGATTAGGATTGTGTGTGTGTGTGTGTTTGTGTGTGTGTGTGCGCGTGCGTGTGCGTGTGCGCGCGCGCACGCGCGCCTGCGTGCATGCGCTGGTACTGGAGTGTGAATCTAGGGCATCATGCTCTAACTCAGCTTATTCACTCACAGCTGGTTCTTTACACTTGAACCATGCCTCCTCTTCAATTTTTTTGTTGGTTAATTAGAGATAGAATCTCACTGTCCAGCCTAGTGTCAAACTGAGATCCTCAGATCTGAGCTTCCTATATAGCTAGTATTATAGGCATGAGCCCCAGAACCTAGCCCAAGATAAGGAATCTTAAGAACAAAAGTCACCTAACCACAGTAGTGCTATAACAGAGTTCCTTAATGTCATCAGATTTCCCTCTTGTCTGAAAACCTTTCAGTGTGGTTGCTTTCTTGGTGTCTCCCTTTCATGCCTGCAGTGAGTTCTTGGATCATCAGGTCTGATTCCAGCAGATGAACAAATGTGTATGCTGGTGGCTGGAAGGATGCAAAGTGGGAAAGCCCATACCTGTGAGGTCTTTCAGTAGGGTGACCTAGGTCATGTGTACCTCAAAAACTAAGGATAGAGCAGGCATCACTAGCTCACACCTATAATCCTAGCTACTCAGAAGCTGAGATCTCAGGATTGCAGGTCAAAGCCAGCCCAGGCAGGAAAGCCTGTTAGACACTTATCTCAAACCACCCAAAAACAGAAAATGGAGTTGTGACTCAAGTGTTAGAGCACTAGCCTTGAGCAAAAAAGCTTAGGGATGACCAGGCACAGAGTTGTAGCCCCAGAACAGGCACCCAAAAACAAGACAAAAAAAACAGGGCCGGGCGCCAGTGGCTCATGCTTGTATTCCTAGCTACTCAGGAGGCTGAGATCTGAGGATCATGGTTCGAAGCCAGCCCGAGCAAGAAAAGTCCATGAGACTCTTATTTCCAATAAACCACTAGAAAACCAGAAGTGGTGCTGTGGCTCAAGCGGTAGAGCGCTGGCCTTGAGCTGAAGAGCTGAGGGACAACGCCCAGGCCAAGAGTTAAAGCCCCACGACCGACCCAAAAAAAAAAAAAGGATAGAGATAGGATCTCTGAGGGCCAGGTATTCTGACTTCTGGTAGTGGATTGGGTGTCCCAACCTTGTGGATTGGGTGATGACAATGTGTGCAATAGTGTCTTCATATTTGGGGGCAAAAGATCTGACCCTTGTTCTCCACTCGCCTAGCCATTTGGAGATATGGGTTTATGGAAAGGATTCCCAGTCAGGCTGGAGACGCGTTCAGTCTCGGACCTGGGTGCAGTCCCAGCATATTACAGACTTGGGATTGGATATAATGTGCTTTTGTTTTTTTCTTCTAGTTTTGATGAAGTATATTACGGGGTCTTCATCTCTCTTTACATGAAACGGACCTTCTTTATTGATAACAGCGGGCCACCATTTGGCCACATGCTTCTGGCCTTGGGAGGTAGGACCCATTAGTAAGAGAAGTAACCATTGGCTTTTAGTTCCAAATATATTTAACACTTAAAGAGCTGATGGCTCACGCCCGTAATCCAAGCTCCTCAGGAGGCTGAGATCTGAGGGTGGCAATTCAAAGCCAGCCGGGGCAAGAAAGTCTTCTATTAATCACCAGAAAACTGGAAGTAGAGCTGTGGCTCCACTAACTTTGAGCAAAAGACTTAGGGAGATGGGCTAGGAAGGTGACTTAGTGGTAGAGTGCCTGCCTAGCAGGCATGAAGCCCTGGATTTGATTACTCAGTACCACATAAATAGAAAAGGCTAGAAGTAGCACTGAGGCTCAAATGGTAGAATGGTAGCCTTGAACAAAAGAAGCTCAGGGACAAGGCCGGGCACCGGTGGCTCATGCCTATAATCCTAGCTACTCATAAGGCTGAGATCTGAGGATTGTGGTTCAAAGCCAGCCCAGGGGAGGAAAGACCGAGAGACTCTTATCTCCAATAAACCACTCAGAAAACCGGAAGTGGTACTGTGTCTCAAGTGGTAGAGTGCTCACCTTGAGCTGAAGAGCTGAGAACAGCACTCAGGCCCAGAGTTCAAGCCCCATGACGGGCCAAAAAAAAAGCAGCTCAGGGACAGAGCCCAGGCCCTGAGTTCAAGCCACAGGATGGGGGGGAGGGGAGGGACCGCTCAGATAGAGCATCTGGGACCTGATTCCATGCCTTGGTACTGGGACAATACAAAACAAAAAACTTCATTCCCTTTTCTCAAAGGGAGAAATTATGTTTTATATACATATCTTCTCTGTTGTCTACCATATATTCCAGAAGTTACTTTTTCTGTTTTAGGTTATTTAGGAGGATTTGATGGTAACTTTTTGTGGAATCGAATTGGAGAAGGTAAGATAATTTTAATTTTTCTTACTAGTGTACACAGGTAAATGGAGAGATTGCAGCTTTTTTTTTCTTCTTTTGGTCTGCTCGTGTTGGGCCTGAACTCTGGGCCTGGGCGCTGTCCCTCTGCTCTTCAGCTCAAGGCTAGTGCTCTACCACTTGAGCCACAGCACCACTTCCAGCTTTTTTCTTTTTGCTTATGTGGTGCTGAGGAATCGAACCCAGGGCCTCAGGATGCAAGGCAAGTGCTCTACCACTGAGCCCCGAGATGGCAGCTTTTATAGAGATTAGCAATTAAATTATTAATATGGGCTCAGTGTATGATATATTGAAAAATCTGATAAAAGTTTTAGAGTTTAGTTACTGTAGTTAATTTATTTCTAGGTTTTAGAATGTGTATCCTGTTTCGTTTGACGTTATGTTTATAAGTATATAACTTGTGTGTTGCCACAAGTATTTTTTAAAT